CGCCGAAGAGGAAGGCATCGATCTCCGCCCAGGAGGCCGCCTCGTACAGCGTCGGCGACGCGGAGCCCCCCGCCGCGGGGTCCTCGCCCGGCGCCGCCATGGGCGCGCAGGGCAGCGGCGCCAGGCGCACGCCGCCGGCGGCGGCCACGCGGCGCACCAGCGGGTTGCGGCCCACCACCAGCCCCACGTCGGCGGAGATGAGGGGCGGCACGTCGGTCATGGAGTCGCCGACGTACACCGCGTCGCCGCCGGAGCCGGCCTCCGCGGCCAGGCCCAGCAGCAGGTCGTCCAGCAGGCGGGCCTTGTCCGCGCCGCACTCGCACCGCCTGCGGAGGACGGTGACGGGCACCCCGGTGAGGTGGGCGGGTCTCTTCACACGCACCGGATTGGGGGCCTGAGGCGTGCGCATGGGGTGCGACCCCGGCGCTGGCTGGCAAGGCCGGGCACGGGCCGGGCACGGTGCAGGCAGCCACGGTCTGGACGCATCGCGCGACCGGCCCCCGGCATCCAAACCCACTCTGACCCCTCCGCCCGTTTCCAATCCTGAACATCCCAAGAAAAACCCCTTCCATCTCGCCTGCGGATGTTGCCGGTGGACTCGTCCCCAAAGTACTCCAGCTCGTTGGCGTAGACGGTGACGGCGCTGACGGAGGGGACGTCGGCCCCTTGGCCGTCGCTGTCGCTGACGACCACCGGCAGCCCCTGCTGCGCCAGCGCCGCCCGCACAAACTCTGCCGACCAGCTCACCGACACCACGGCCCTGCAGGAGGGGGTTGGGGATGAGTGGTTGGTGCGATTGAACACTACACAGGCCCAGAGCGGACCTGGCTTCCAATCTGGGATTCGAGCATGGTGACAAAAGGAGCAGCCCCAACCCATCCATGCCTGCATCTGTATGTGACCTGGCAAAAAGCATGGGACACCCCCCCCGCGCACCGTGCACCCACTCCCCTGAGACATCACAGTGGGTGGGCGTCACACTCTCGGCCTGCCCCCAAAATTCCAACCACGCGCAACTCACACAGGGATGCCCGCCTTGACTGCCTTCTGCATCACCGCCAGGCTCCCGGGCTGCATCTCCACAGCCGCCCCGGCCTGCGCCAGCTGCTCGCGGCGGACACCCTTCAGGATGCCTGCATGTCCGAGGGGGCCGGCGGTTTGCTTATGAGCAAAGCATCTGCGCAGATGTCTCACGCACATAAGGATGCAGAAGGGAGACGGGCCAAGATGAGCAAGGGGTACAAGTATAAAAGAGGTTCACGATCCCTAAGCTCCCTTACCAGAGTCGACGACCACGGTGTTCATCTCCCGGTCAAAATCAGCCAGGCGATCCACAAAGTCACCGAGCCAACCCATGTCAAACTCCGTCCTGACCTCCCCCTCCTGCAGCAGGTGTACGGTGGGTGTGCGCTGGTCTTGTAGAAAGGTCTGGCAAGAGTGAGCTGGCCAGGCAGGCCTGGCCGCATGCACCCCTTATTCTGCAGCAAGGTCAGTGAGCATCTCACTGGGGGCAGGGCATCCTCGAGGAGGGAGGTGCGCCGGTCGGTGTAGTTCCTGATGAGCCAGCTGTGCTTGTCTGCCAGCTCCTGCACCAGATCCTCGGACTTTGATGCCTCAGACACCTGCGCACGTTGCAGGGAGCTGTTGAGTGCAGCGGAATGGCCAGAGACTGATTTAGTGGTGCAGGTCAATTCTCCCGAGCAGGAGACTCGCGTAACGATGAGCTCATGCTTTAGCTCCCTATAAACCCGCCCTGGCAAACATCAGATCCCCGTGTCCCGATCCCAAACCATGTGCAACACATGCCCCTACCTTGCTCACGACGGCCTGGATGGCCGTTTTTGCAATGGTGCCTGAAGTGTCCCGGGTCGTGATGGTTTCATCAAAGTCGATGACCAGGAGTCGCAGCTGCCGGACCTGCGAATTGAGTGGCTGCCCGGCGAAGAACTCCTTCTCGAGCTGCATGGCAGTCCGGTACTGACTCAGCAGGCGATCTGTAGAGCAGGGGTATGGGAGAGGATGACTGTCTCAAAGCGCTCACTGGCGTTCAGATGCACGCTGGGGAGCATGGGCGCGCAGCTGCTGCACGGTATTGTTGAGGAGGAAGGAAGGCGTACAGGGGGCTGCGCTGGACGCCAAGGATTTGAATGTGAATAGTGACGAGGCGAGGGCTGCCGCTGAACGAGGGAGATGGTGCTGGAAGGCCAGAGGGACTAGGCTCCAGGGGGTGTAAACCCTGGCAACCCTCTGCACCAAAATGGGTGTCAGGAGGCTCGCCAGCATCCACGGCCGGTTTGCCGGGGTGGATCACCAATCGAAATTAATGAAATGCGAATGACTGCTTCCCAGGCTGTCGGCGATTGGTGAGGGCTCCCATGGTGATGGCTCCGGCCCCAATGCTGTGTCGAGATTGCGACAAGGCATCGGCATCCCGTCGGCGCCCTCTCCTCAGGGCGCGCCCGTGCCGTCGGGACACCACAGAAGCCGTGTCCCAAGAGACCTACAGCGCCAGTACTCCTGAGTTCTAAAGTGGGAGAGATAATAGCCAGTAAGGTGCCGACAGTGCTCCGTGACTGTGGACTCGCGCGGGCGCATCCTGGCCCGGGCTCGAGCGCTGCACCTCGCCCGCCGGCCGTTTCGACACCACGGGACCTCCGCCATGAAGCTCATAACCCACAACATGCTGTCCTGCCCCATCAAGGGCGTAAAGAACGGGTTCCCCTTCCGCATAGAGGTCGGGGAGGTGGCCACTCGGGAAGCAGACTTCGACCCGACCTTTTTGCGCCACATCCTCCCCCGCATCGAGTACGGGGCGCTGCGTGCTGCCGCCGCTTCCCTAGGTCGGTGCGGGCCTGGTGTGGGAGGGGTGGTGCTCGGGGCTTGTTGAGGTTTTAAGAAGGGAGTTGAGTGCCCCTTCCCCTGCAGCCTAACACACAACACACAAACACACACACAAACACACACACCGTCACCCACCAAATCCACAGGCTTTGCCGATCTCCCAGAGACCGTACCAGAGGGGGCCACGGAGGACGACGCCTTCCTGCAAGCCTTGCACCATGCGCTGCTGGAGCTGCACCTGGAGGAGGGCGCCCTGGTCTGCCCCGAGACGGGGCGCCGCTTCCTTGTTAACAAGGGCATCCCGAACCTCTTGCTGCACGAGGATGAGTGCTGACGCGCGGCGCCTGAGGCCGATAACCTCGCGCTGGGGAGACGCCACGGCAGATTGGGGCTGCCCTGTCCTTCCGGCGGGGTTGGGTGCGACGCCGATGCACGCTGGTGTAGCTCCGCCTGCGCCAGCCCGCCTACCACATGGGCCCAATCTAGACCCCTTCCTCTCCCCCCCCATTGTCTCACCCGACACCACATCCACTACCTCCTCCTTCTCTCCTTGTAAACGTACCGTATGTGCCGGGCTCGTACGCTTCATCCATGATGGCCTCCGCAATGGGGGGCAGTGCCGCATACTCCTTTGCGCTGTAAGTATTCAGCCACTCTGCAGGCAGGGGATGGGGTCCAGACTCTGCTGAGACAGGCTGTTGTCAGCTTGGATCCAGGAAACTGGATGCTTCCCCATGCACAGGGTGCCCCAGTGGCCCTCTCATCAAGCACTTCGGCCAGCTCAGCACTGCACGCCCCCTACACTGCAATATCCAGGATGTCGCCCTAGGTTGAGTCAGTCTGGCTTGGAGGCCCTCCGCTCTGCACCCTCCACACGCACACTTATCGCCCAACCCACCCTTGTAGGGGTTGCCGGGCTGACTTGGCACGCTATTCAGCTGGGCGCCCAGCCAGGCATAGAGGCGGAGGCAGGGGAGCAGCGTGCTCATGACGTCGGCCAGAGACTGCGGATGGCGTTCATCATCAGAGAGCAGGGTGACTTTTGTATCCTGGATCAAACAGAGTTTCCATCGATGCCCCCCTCGGCCCTGTGCCCCAGCATCAGGCCCTCTCAGGAGTGGGTAAGGTGCGGGAGCTCCACGCTGCTGCCACACAGGACCCGCTCTCCCCCCTGCGCGTACCGAGTCATGCTGCTCGCTGACCATCTTTATGTAGTAGACGTAGGCCTTGGTGGCGGGGGAGGGCTGCTGGTGCTCCAGCAGCACGCCCCACCGCTCGGCGTAGGCCTCGTGCAGTCGCAGCTCATCGCGCACGCCGCGCAGCATCCCCTTCAGCGCCTCGGCCAGATGCTGCTGCTCCGGGGCGCAGCGGTCCATGGCTGCGGCGTAGGCCTCCGCGAAGCTGAGCAGGAAGGTGGCATCCTGGCCGATGAAGTGCTGGAAGGACTCCCTGCGCGGTGCAGGGCAGGGGGGTGCGGAGGCTGGGGGCGGCAGGTGCAGGGGGAACCCAAACCCCGGGGCGGATGGACGATCGCACCCAGGCAGCGCGGTGCATGTCGGCTAGGGTGAGGGCCCAGCCTCGGTCGGGTCCATTGTCGTGGGGAGGCCGGGCCATGCAGCTCAAGGGAGGGGGGCACCGGCCCGTGTGTTGGCCGCTCACGCCCCGCGCCATCCACGCAGACTCACCGCGGGAGGGTTCCTTGGGCGATCCCGAGCACAAAGGGATGCAGCAGTGACTGGTAGGCGAGATCCTTGCTGTCCTCCCAGAGCCGCGAGGACACCCCCCCATTGGGCGCGGGCTCCCCGGAAGGCTGTGGCTGGGCGGGCCGAACCGACCTCGTCGCGCTGTCCGAGGGCGGTTGAGTGACCATCATATCTGCGTGGTGAGGAATTGTACAGCGATCGCAGTGGATGCCTGCCTCTCTCAATGCTGGCCGGGGGCACGGTGTTCAGCGGGGGGGGGTTCACTTCGCGCGCGTGCCGGAGCCTCGATGGTGTTGGGCAAGGCCCACTGCAGCGGCCTAGAAAGGCGGAAGACTACCACCACCTACGAGTTTCCCCAATGCATCCGTGGCAATGTGATCGGCAAGGAACATCTGATCTGTGGAGGGAGTGTCCATCCCGGTCCACCACCTCCCGTGCCGTACCTGAGCTCATGGGGCTCACAGGCCGGGCAACAGCGCTCCTATTGGAGAAGTGCCGGGAGGAGAATCCCTTGGTGCAGTGTATCACCAACTTTGTGAGCATGGATCTGATGGCCAACACCCTGCTCGCTGCAGGGGCTTCGCCGGCCATGGTGCGGAGGGGTCGGCTGGGTGGGCACTGCAGGTAAAGCCTGGAGATACCGTATCCACCCGGCTTAGTCGAAACAAACATTTCAAGTCCACAGGCTCACTCGATCAGCGAGGTTGAGTCGTTCGTGGAGCTGGCCTCTGCCCTGCTGGTGAACGTCGGGACACTGTCCGAGGACTGGGCAGGCGGCATGAAACTGGCCGCCTTGACTGCAGGGCGCCTGAGAAAGCCATGGGTCCTGGACCCCGTCGCGTGCGGGGCCACCCCTGCCAGAACTTCGGTGGGTTCGCACCATTATGACAAGTGGTGGTTCGTCCGGATTCCGCCCCTGCCCCACGTGACTCCCGCATGAGACGAGATGTCCCTTCCACTGCGCGATCAGCCCCGTTACCCAACGCAAGATGCCGCCGCTATTCCCATTCCACCCCCGCCCCGACCGGACTCGCTGTAGCTGTGCAAGGATCTGATGGCACTGGGCCCAACTGTGATTCGCGGAAATGCCTCTGAGATCATGGCCCTGGCAAGCTTGGGCGGCGAACGCACACGCGGCGTGGACAGCAGCCACCCCTCTGAGGCCGCCGCCCCGATGGCCCGTGCCCTTGCGGCCCGCCAGGGTTGCATAGTGGCTGTGAGCGGGGCAGTGGATGTCGTCACCGACGGCACCCGCACCCTCCTGGTCGGGAATGGACACCCCCTCCTGCAAAAAGTCACGGCGACGGGATGCTCCGTGACGGCCCTCATCGCGGCATTCGTGGCCGTGGCAGGCCCTGAGCAAGCCCTGGAAGCAACGGCGCACGCTCTGGCCTACTTTGGGTGCGGGGAGGGCATCTGGGTGGTGGTGTGCAGCTGCCATGCGGTCCCGCCAAGGAGGCACCGCGGGCATGGGCGGTTGCCCCTGGGGTTTGCAGACAAGAATCGAGATCCAGACCCCTCGTGCGCCTGTCTTGTACCCTTACAGGAGCCGCGTCGCATGCCAGAGCAAGCTCCCCTTGATGCACTGCTGGCCTGCTCTCTGGCGTTGTCTTTCGCTCAGGCATGCCTCGAAAACCCTTCCTGCCCACATGCGCAGAGTGGCTGCTGAGCGGGCCGCAGTGGACGAGGCAGGGCAGGTCAGGGGCCCAGGCTCGTTTCGCGTGAAGCTCCTGGATGAACTGGACCTCCTGTGCGCCGCACAGCTCGTTCATGCCAGCAGGATAGGGCGCAGCACCTGAGTCGGGGTGCAGGGTCCTGCATGCATCGCACAACCCAAAGGTATTGACAGAGCAGCGTCCTGTGTGCTGATCTGTCTGGCTACGATGCAATGGAAGAGTGTGCTGAAAGGGAGTGACCTGATGAATGCCAGGGGCGTCATCTTATGGCAGATGCCTGAAAATCGGGGGGGAAATTCCATGCACTGTAAGCTGGTTTCCAAGTAGTAAAAGATAATTCTTTATGGACTGTCAGGTGAGCAATCCGAATGCGTGTGGTCGGAAGCCAAGGGCTACAGTGCCGAGCAGTGGGCGTTCAACCCAGCCCTTGCTGGTTTGGGGTGGCGCTTGAGGGTATGGGTCGTGGGACATTCGCCACCAGTCAGGGGCTGCGCGGCAAAGAATTCCCTCTCCAGCCGCATGGCCTCTGAGTACAGGTACGACACCCGGTCTGTCCATGGTGGGAGGGAGGAGGATCTGGATGCTGCTATAGAGTGGGTGATTGAGCATCCAGCACCAGGCCCACTGCCTTCCCTCCTCCCATCCTCACCATAACACTCTGGGACAAAGGTCTCGTCGAGAATGGCTTCCAGGTCTTGGAATCGTCGGTCATCATACTTGCGGCTGTAGTTTTCGATCCATTCTGGGGGAGATCAGGGACAGAAAGCCGTCAGCTTGAGAAAGGCCCTGCCAGGAAGTGCTCATCAACCCTGGCAGCACCACATCCTCACCCATGTAAGGGTTGCTGGAGTCCATCTGCTTGGGCAAGAGTACGTGCCCAATCCAGGCATACAGACGCGCACAGGGTATGGTGGCGGACATGATGTCTGCCAGAGTCTGCACGTTGCAGGCGGTGGGACGCCAGTGTGTGGGGATGGGGCGCATGTTCACTGAATGTCACTTGAGCACTCCAACCTCAAACCATGCCTCTATTGTCTCGCGTTACTGCATAGAGCTAGAATCAGCAACGTACCGCATCTGGATGGCTGTGGGTTGCTTGAAGAAAGTCAGTATATGCCAAGGTGGCAGGCTCGGGCTTGCAAAGTGAGAGATCGAAGCCAGCAGCCCTCTGGGAAGGGGGGTGGGAGGTGGCTTGAGGACATCCGTCAGGCCATGCGATCCGTACATAACTTATTTCAAGCCCTGTTTCGTGCTTGCAACCCCCAGATGGACCTTTACTACTCCCATCTTTCACCTGCATGTGAAGGACACAGCTCTGCTCTGCTTGCACGAGAGCTGTTCTGAGCCTGAGGGCCAGATGCTCGTCCTCAGGCCGACAAAGTCGTAGCGCAGCCTTGAAAGCATCGGCATATGCGAGGCGGTAGAAAGTATCCTGGCCCAGATAGTGGAGGAAGCTGCATCTGTGGAGGACGTGCAGGGAAGGGTCAGTCGGGTTCCGGCACCTTCACCGGCCGGCATCTCGTGCGCCTTGAACGACCGTACTCACCTTTCCAGCGTCCCATCAGACAGTCTGATGACAAAGGGTGTGCGCAGGGACTCGTGAGCCAGTCCCATGCTGTCTGACCACAGCTGGACGGAGATCCGGGTCCTCATGTCCTGGTGGACCCGTACGGAGGGATGGGGCTCACCAGCCCTCCTCCGCGCCACACAAAAGCCTCAACATCAGCGGAGACAGGTCTAATCTGGTGGAAATGCAGGGTGAATTACACGGTTGCGTGCACATAATGGCGGGATAGGTGTCGGCGCGCCCAATACTTGCCTTGCTGCCCCCCATGAAGCGCATGGACACAATCTCGCGCGAACCCCGCCCCTTTCTTCCGGCCGGAAGACCAATGTCCCTTTCGCGAGTCTGCCTAAGTTGGCTGTGCAGCGAAAAAGTTCCTCTCCAGTCTCATTGCCTCTTCGTAGATGGACAGCAGGTGCTCTGTGCTTCGAGGTGGTGGAGGCCCATGTCAGGCAAGAGGTCTCTCTCGACAGCCAAGCGCCGTAAGGCAAAGCAGAAATCTTACCGTATGTGCCGGGTATATACACCTCATCCAGGATGGCCTCGAGGATTGGTGACGCCTGGTTGAACTCCTCGCATGCATATGTATCAATCCAAGCTGTTAAGGGAGAGGAGACGGGGTCCATTGTGCCGTTGCAGGGCAGGCTATCTTCGTCGTGGCTAGCACCAGAGTGGTGAGCTGATCAGAGATTTTTCTCAATCTGTCCCACGCACACCTTCTATCTTGCCCCACCTTTGTAGGGATTGCCCTCTAGGGTCGCCTTGGCCACCAGTTGCCGACCAATCCAGCCGTACAAACGGCTGCATGGGATCACAGCTGCCATGACCTCCGCCAGAGTCTGCGGTCGGAGCATGAAAGGGGTTACATGATACCCCACCAGATGCACGTGTTCAAGCCTCAGGCTTTCTCAGACAATTGAGCCCTGCAGCCTTTATCAATGACCAATCAATCCTCCGTACAAACTGATGATCCGTCATGACATCTGTGAGCCTCGCCGTCAACCACTTACCGCCGTGGGACAGGAGCTGATGCGCCTCAGGAAGGAGGTGTAGGCGGTCGTTGCAGGTACCAGAGTAACAGTGGTAGCAGAAGCATCTGGCCCAGAATCCTGCGAGAGTTTCTGGAGAGTGTTCATTCATACTGCAATGATGCCCTACTCTCAAGAAACGATGCCCGATATGCACCCAGACCCTGCAATCTGCTCAGAGAGGCAGGAAGACCCTGTGAGACTCGCCTCGGTATGCTTGGCGACCTCCTGATTGATTTTGTCAATGACTTCCGAGAGGGCTGCTGCCACGTGCTGCTGGTCCGGTCGGCACATGTTGACGGCAGTCGCAAACGCGTTCCCATACATGATCAGGTAGTTCGTATCCTGTGCTAGGTAGTGCTGGAAGGTCGACCTGTGGCAGGCGAGGGAAAGTCATTGTCGACGGAGTGCTGCCGGGGTGCGTACACGGTGGGCTACCCGGCCCCCCACCGCGTCCAACCTGGGCAAAGTGCCATCAGCGATACCGGTGACAAATGGTGTTGACATGGATTCTTGAGCCAATGCAGACGTGGCGGCCCATAGCCGGGCGGAGATGCCGTCATGGAGGCCGGGCTCGCCACTCGGGAGGGAGGGCACGACCTTCATCGTCTTGCCGTGGCTGGAGACTAGCTGCACCATCGCAACTCACGATTGATAGTTACTCGTGGTATTACAAGCTCATGTGATATGGCGAAGGCCAGCATAGATGCATTCACACTTGTGGGTCCGACAATCTCCTCCAATTCCGACAGGTAATGACCCATGTCCAGCAGCGGGGTGAGAGCCAAGACTAGGCGATCCCGGGCATCAGGCAATCAGCTGAGCACGGTGCATGGGGATAATTGTGCATCCAATCGAGCTTCAGACTTGAATTCTTCATCCAACCTGAGTTTGCATCGCTGTAGAGAGGGTGGGTGCGCTTCTGATAGCAATCCTGCAAGAGTTCCGGCTTTCTTTTTTCAAAGCCATCGGCGACAGCTGAGCACTCCGCGCTCGGGAAGGCCACACTCTCCGCCGAGCGACAAACGCCTGCGACCATGCCACTGGAACAGCAGTCATTTCGCAGCAAACTTCGAGGAAATGGATCGGCGCAAAACGCTCGGGGCTTTGAGCCCCGGGTCGCTTAACTCCCGTGCCTCGCTCGCACCCGGGCGCTTCACCAAGGATGCGGCAAAGGCCACGGGGTGGGCGTCAAAAATTCCCTTGGACAAAGCCATGAGCAGGATGTCGCTCGCGGGACCCGTGCAGCGCCGCTCCTCCGCGTACACCACGACGAAGGCCTCGGGGCTAAAGTCCGACCCCCGCCCCGTTGGCGACAAACAGTACCAGGCCAACTGCGCTCGCACCATCATCACATACCTCGCTACGCACAACTACGAGTACCAGATCAACCCCAAAGTGCGTGGTGCCCGGGATGATGGTCCATGGTTCGGTGCAACCACCTGCCCGCCGTAAGGGACTCCCCCTCTCCCCCACCGTCCTTTCCCCGCCCCCTCCCCGCAGGTGCTGGCCAGCCCGACGACCAAGGACTTCACTAATATCATGCTCTTCCTCCTGCGCCGCCTGGACCCCTTGACCGCCAAGGGCCCCGTCAAGCTGGAGGAGGAGGTCCCGGTGCTGTACAAGCGCCTCCGCTACCCTTTTCAGATCTCCAAGTCCAACCTGACCGCGGTGGGCTCCCCGCACACCTGGCCTTCCATCCTGGCCGCCCTGGCCTGGCTGGTGGAGCTGCTGAACTACCAGGACCAGGCCGAGCACGCCGTGCAGATGGTGCGACCTTGAGGGTAGACTTGTTCAGGCATGGGTGCCGCACGTGCCACTGAGAGAACGCCGTGCCAGTCCTGCTGCACAGCACTCTGGTGAGGGCTACATTGGTCATGATCCTACCAGACGCACACACGGACCGGGACCGGCCACACCCCAGTCAGTGCGCCGCGGAGTCACCCGAGTTCATTCCTGTCCATGCCACCCTCCCCGGCGCAGGCCTCCCCCGAGGAGGGCGCCGACGCCGCCTTCTTCGAGTACGTCGCGCAGTCGTACCGCTACTTCATGGCTGGGGACGACGAGAAGTGTGAGGCGGTGGATGCCTCCAAGGCCACCGAGTTTGATGAGCGGGCGGGGGAGATCACTTCGGCCACGCAGCGGCTCCTGGCGGTGCGTGCCGAGTGTATGGTGTGGGGGTGTCGAGGGAGCTCACAGTTGTGTGCAGGGTGGTGGCGGTGAGCGCCTTCTGAGTGAGGGAGTGTCGGGACACATGCTGTGCACCAGCGCCCCCGGCATGCTGAAGCACTGTCATCCCTCCTGTCACCTGCCCTACTGCTATTCTCATCCAACCTGCATTCCATCTCCTTTCACATCTCCCCTCCCTCCTCAGGCCAACGAGTCTCTGGAGCAGGAGATTGCCACTGCACGGGACAGCCCGTCCCCCCTGGTTGCGGCCAGGGCTCGCCTGGAGGAGACACAGGCGGACAAAGAGAAGTTCCTGAAGCTCATCGCCTCCCTGGAGGCACGACCCGGGCTTGAGATTGCTGCCTGGGGCGGTGTGTTGCCTGCCCTCCACTGGAGCATGCCTCCCCACTCCCTGCACATCGATGGGGTGCCCTATTCTTGCAGTCCCTGGTTCTCACCGCAATGCCGCCCATGCCGATACCGTTCCCTTCCCTGAGCACGGCGGTCTCAATGTCTCTGCCATGCCACTCGACTCCCCTGGCACCCCTCCCACTTGCATGTACACTCACCAACCCGCCCTCACACGCGCAGTCCCACAAGGCCTCCCTGGATCGCAAGGTGGCGGAGCGGCGCAGCGACGTGGCGGCCCAGGCCTCGGAGCTGGAGGGCGTGGAGCGCGAGTGCGCCTCGCTGCGCGCGCGGCTGGCGGTGCAGACGGTGCGCCCCGCGGATGTGCAGCGCATGGCCGCGGAGCGCGTGGCCGCAGAGCGCGAGCTGCGTGCCGCGACCGCGGCGCGCGAGGCGCTGGAGGCCCGGCTGGCGGCCGCCGAGCGCGCGCTGGGGTCGGCCCTGGACGCGCTGGAGGGCGCGCTGGGGCGCTACCACGCGCGCGCCGCGGCGCTGCAGCTAGTCCCCGCTGGCGCCAAGCGCGCGGGCGGGTGCGCGTACGAGGTGGCGTACGACCGCGGCGCGGCCGCGGCGGGCGCGCTCCCCGCACCGGACTGGAAGGGTGGCGTGCGGCGCGGGCTGGAGGAGCTGGCGGGGGCCTACCGCTCCCGCGCGCGCGCGCTGGGCTCCGAGCGTCTCTCGCTGCGCGAGCGCGCGGCCAACCTGGCGACGGCCGCGGGCGACCGGCGGGAGGAGGTGGCGGCCGCGCAGGCTGAGCTGGCGCGGCTGGAGGCGGCCCAGGAGGGGCTCAAGGACGCGCTGGCGGCGCTGGTGGAGGCGGAGGGGCGCCAGGTGGCGGAGCTGCAGGCCGAGGTCGCGGCGCTGCGAGGGAAGGGCGGCTCCACCCTGGCCGCCAGCGAGGAGGACCTGCGCGAGCTCCAAGCCCGCTACGAGGACGACGTCAGGTGGGGGGCATTGGGGGGTGCGATGTGGTGGTCCCATGTTCGGGCAAAGGGGTGGCATCATTGGGGAACCGATGGTCTCATGAGGGGGATGGCTGACGGAGCAAGCATGTGGGAAAGATGTTTCGGCTGGATGTGGGGGGGGTGCTGGGAGCACGTGGGACGCATGAAGGGTCGGGCTGGGCAGGATGGTACCTGGCCTGTATCGGGGTGAGGCACCCTGCACTTTGCTGAAGGGGATGCGCCTCCGTCAGAGGTGTCGAGCATGCGCACGGTCCTGATGACGGACACACGTCGCACCACTGGGCCACCGGGGCTTCGAGGCAGGCACCCTCTCAATCAGTTCTTCACCCAACACCAATCCCTCTTCCTCCCTCCCAACAACATCCTGACAGGGCCATGGAGGCGCAGAACGCGGCGCTGCACCGGGACCTGGCGGCGGCTCTGGAGCACGTGCTGCACCATAAACTGCACGTCCAGGTGAGGTGCAGGGTGTTGGTGTTTGTGCGTAGTGTGATGAAAGGGGGTTGCAAGGGGCGACCGAGGGGGGTTTAATGGGTCCAGAGCGATCACATGCACGAGCAGCTGCCTGGAGAAGGCCCAGGGAGTTCATATTCCGTGTTGCAGACCGTCTCCTGCGCCCTCACCGGCCTCGGTACTGACCCTGCTCCCTGCCACACATCCCCCAGGACAAGCTGAAGGGCGCGGGGGTGCGCCTGCGCCGCGTCCTGGAGGAGTGCAGGGCGTGCAAGGTCTGCGCGTGACTGGATAGATTGCACCGCACATTCAGAGGCCGCGTCACCGATCTACCAATAGTGTGGGGGCGAATAATCCGACCGCCCTCCTCGCCGACGGCGTGGCTGGTGACCAGGAACGCGCACCTCTCATGCCTCGCATGCGCATCTCCCGTGTGCACGCTCTGAGCGCCTCGTGCCGGAGACTCGGTGCCTCCCCACCGCCCACTCAGCGCCACCCCGATGCAGCACACCACCCCATCACATGTGGTTGCTGGCGGTCACCAGCGGGGCCGACATGCCTTGCCAGCATTGCAATTGCAATGCTATCTCCATCCCTGTATGTAATACTCGACATGACTGTTGAATTCGATGGGAGTTTCTTCCCGTGCTAGCCCTCTGTCCATGCACCGGAATGCGACAACAGTGCTGAAGTTGATCGTTCCATCATGCCCCTCGCACACTCCCTCGCGCATGGTGCGATGGGTGAGAGCGCATTCACGAGGCGTGCAGGGAGCCATGGACCTCGGTACTTGACTCCATAAGCATCAAATTCTCATTGAACTTTAGCGATGAGTACTTCATCGGCGATGTATGCTGCGCTTCTACACGTCCGCAGCTTCCGCCTGCTGTGCGCAGAATTAGGGCTTGGAGCAGCTCTGAACCACACGGCGGTTGCGGACGGTGCCACCCCCGCGATCTGGGAGCTGCGACAAGAACCAGGTCTTGATCCAACATGATACAAATACCCGCCAAAGATGGTATTAGATCACTTTCTGAAAATTGAAGTACCATACTGCTGTGATTCCTGCATCAATTCCCCGCAGGTCTTTCATCGACCCGTAAAGCTGCAAACGCCCGGTCGTGCGCTGCCATGGCGGCGACGAACGCAACTGGGCTGGAACAACGCGAGGAGCTTCAATATTGGTAACTAAAATTATGGTGAGCGGGGTTGCAACAGGACTCGGGGAGCGCGAGGAGGTCACTGAATTTAAATGACACAGCGTGATCAGCACTGACACGCCCGGCGTCAATACCCCCTTCCAGGCAGCAGCAACACCGGCAGTTACAACACCGGGTAGAGCAACACCGGGGACAACCTCGTCTGTAACCGCCTCGAGACGGGGGAGACCTGCCAGCTGTCTGTGCTTCCACCTCAGACACCCTAACCCTTGCAGCCCCTCCCCCTCCCAGCCCACCGCCAAGACCCCCCCTTCCCTGTCAGCCCGGCCCCCTCCCCAGCCAACCCCGTCACCGCCCCAGGGAACCCCTGGCCCGCCCCGGCGGGCCCCTCGCCAGCCCCGGCGAGTCCCTCCCTCGCCCCAGTGAGCCTCCGCGCCCACACCCCAGGGACCCCCCCGCCTACCTCAGGGAGCCCGTCCCCTGCCCCAGGGACCCCATCACCCTCTCCAGACAGCCCTTCCCCTTCCCCAAACCCCTCACCAGCGAGCCCACCACCACCCACTGCAAGTCCATCACCTCCCACCGCAACCCCTCCACCTCCATCTCACGTTCACACTCCTCCACCGCCCCCAAAGGTGAACCCTGCAAGGGTCCCCCCTCCTCCAAAACACACCAATCCACCTCCCAGGAAAATTTCGCCCCCTCCCCAAAGGAAATTCTCGCCGCCACCTCCGGCCAAGGAGCCATCGCTCCCCACAAAGAAGGTGTCGCCACCGCCTACTAAGAAGAAGTTGCCACCACCCACCAAGAAATCGCCTCCTCGCACAAAGAGGAACTCACCATCCCCTGTCATGAAGGAGTCGCCGCCCCCTGTCAAGAAGAAGTCACCGCCTCCCACCAAGAAGAAGTCACCGCCTCCCACCAAGATGATAAATCCTTCACTCACTCCCACAGCATTCAAAACATGCGGCCCGCTGTTGCCATGCATACGCGTTTACAACCCTATCCTGTTTCTCAGTACGATGTAAACCTATTTTTCTACTTGGTTATTATTCCAATGCCATCAGACAAGGCTTGAGAGCGTTTGCGAAGAGGGAGAGCAGCCTGGCGGTGACAGGCAGATCGCTGGAGGCTTGCATCAGTTCCTTGCCAGCGCTCCCGGACGTTGTCGGTTCGCCACCCTCCACACCCGCCCATGCACATCAAATCTCTGTTACCCCAGGTCCGTCCGCCCGCCTGTGCAGCCTGACCCGTACCTCCTCCGGCCGCAGGGTGATGCGCGCCCGCGCCGCAGGCGGGCGCGCCCCTCCCTCCGGCTCCAGCCTGAACCTGGCGAGCAGCATGCTCAGCACCAGCGGCACCTCCAGCATGGCAAACCCCGTGCCGATGCAGACGCGCGGCCCCGCGCCAAAAGGCACGTAGCTCCCCGCCGCACCCTGGTCTGAGAGAAGCGCGGTGGCGCTCCCTGCGGCGCACAGGGCCTCCGCCCACCGCCCGGGGACGAAGGCCGCCGGCCGGCCATGGCCCTGCGGAGGCAAGGCCGCACCGCCTGTCCCTGCATTCATGTTCGTGTGAGCTTCCGCCTCGCTGCCTCGACCCGCGCGCCAGACCGCCGGGTCGCGGTGCAGCAAATACGTCGCCAGGAGGACGGTGGTCCCGCGCGGCAGGCGGTACTGCGCCAGGTCGGCGTCGCGCGCCGCGCAGCGGCCCACCATGTAGGCCGGGGGGTGCAGGCGCATGGCCTCCAGCGCCGCCTCCGTGGCACGCGGGAGGGGCGCGGCGGCGAGACCAGGGGCGGGGGGCGCGGCGGCGGAGTCCGAGATGTGGTGGCGCGCAGCAGCAATCGCCTCGGCTGCCACCACCTCCTGGGCATGGGGGTGTGCGGCCAGCTGGGCGCAGGTCCACCCCAGGGCGATGGCGCTGGTCTCCTGCCCCGCCACCATCAGCGTCATCAGCTCGTCGCGCAGGGCGCGGTCGCCCATGGCGGCCGGCGGGCCGTCCCCCTCCTGCGCCCGCGCGCTCAGCATGGCGTCCAGCAGGCAGGGGCGGGGTGGCGCCGGCTCCGCAGCCAGGTACCTTGGACAGTGTAATTCGGGGGGCAGGATGGTGAGGTGTTTGTGTGCGATGGGGGCGCTGTCCGACGCTGCAGACCGTTGTCGGTTCGGGCTGACTCAGATGTCCAGAGGCATGGCCCAGGACGTCCACCTAACAACCTTGCAGTCACCTCCCCCACTCACACACACACACCCAAAAGACACACACCCCTTCCTACACTCACTCCCGCCTCCGCGCGATGAGGCCATACACCGCCTCGTCCAGCCGTTCCACGGCGCGCGCCAGTGCTGCGTTCCCCGGCGTGGGCAGGTACTCCGGCAGCGGCAGCGCCACGCGCGCGGAGAACTGGTCGAAGGCCTCCTGGATGGCAGCCGTGACCCCCGCCGCGCGCTCGCCCTCCAGCGCCGAGCCGAACAGCGCCTCCAGCGCAATGTCCAGGGTCAGGCGGTTGAGCGCGGGGTAGAGGTCCAGGGCCGCACCGTCGTCTCCCGCCGCCGCCACGGCGGCGTCAAGCTCGCGCAGCGTGCGCAGCGTGCAGCGCGCCATGCTGCCCGCGTAGGCGGCCACCGCCGCGGCGCGGAAAGCGGGCGTGCACAGCTGGCGCTGGCGGCGCCAGGTGGCGCCGTCGCTGACCAGCAGCCCGTCCCCCGTCAGGCTGGAGCCGGGGAAGAAGGCGGTGCCGGACTTGACCCAGGTGTCGGACCGGTCCTGCAGCACGTCACGCGCGGCGGCGGGGTCGGAGACCAGCACCACGCGCGACCCGGCCAGGGTCAGGCCCACCACCGGGCCGTGGTCCCGCGCCACATCGGTCAGGAAGGCCAGCGGATCGCTGAGCAGGCGCAGCGCGCAGTCGCCGCCGGGGCCTGTGAGGCGAGGTGGGTGAGGCAGGTGGGTGTGCAAGGGTGGGTGGGTGGAGAAGGCGGGCCTCGAGGAGCACGAAGACGTTCTCTGGGTACAGAGAAAGGGGGGACATGGGGCAGCATACAAGTGTCCCAGCAAGTAAAGTGGCGCAGCTCGTTGCAGAGAGCACAACGTTACCATTATCCTGGCAGCAGTGCAGCGCCGCCTCTCAGTCCCTCGCACCTAGTGGAAAGCCCGGCGGCGCGGGGGTCATCATGGTCTGGAGGCGAGATAACCCGGCGCCCAGGAAGCTGCCCAGATCAGGGCCGGTCCTCGCGCTGGATGCCCTGACTTGTATGGCGGTTGCTGCAGACCGGCGCAGTATTCCTGCCCTGTAATTGGGTCCATGCCTGGGCCCCGCTTCGGGCATGCCACAGGTGTGCATCATGCGGTGGGAGGAGCCCAAAGCACAGGAGCAAAGGCTGGCCATTTTATGCCACGGGATGGGAATACCAGTTGAGCACCCAGATCCTGGGCAGCCAAGGCTGGACGCGGGTTCAAGATCTCTTGGAAGTGTGCGCGGCCATGAATTCGCCGATCCGACCAGCGAGAGGCTTCTCTACCGTGCATGCATGGGCATGGGTGGGGCGCAGATGCCTTCGGGATCACACATCAGCACCGCAGCAAACATGACACAAGCAAATCATGGAACGAGCGGGCGCAGTGACTCCGTGCATGGGACGAGTCAAGACTCGCCATCGACCGGACAACGCTGTCGTGCATGAAACCCATGCTGCACTGCTGGATCGAATCTGGGTGGGGTTCCGCCTTTCCTCGGGCGTGCATCAGACATGCATCGGTCCATCCTGCCAGGCCACATTCTCGATCCCGCTACCTGCAGAGCTCCTGTGAAAAACCAGTATTTCAGTGCGCATCACATTGCGAGGAAGTGAGCACCCCGAGCGAACACAATCAGCCATGGCATCCTGCAGCATGTCCCGTCTCGCACTCGCCACCCCCGTGGCCACTTCCCGATCGACCCCCCGCATGCGTGCCTATGGCGGCACCCCGCTGCTCAAGCCCGCCTTCAGCCCCAATGTCAGCCCTTTCAAGGCCACCAGGACGATGAAGGTATGATGGGAGCGGTCCTGCGATCCCACCCGTGACGTGTGCAATCAAGTACTGGCACGTGAGCGATATGTGGGGGCCAGCCGGGTGCCTTGCATGCATGCATGGGCAGCATGCCGACCGACAGACCCGCCCATGCCCCGCCATGCAGACCAGGAAGGCGACCTTCACGGTGGAAGCGGCCAAGAAGTCTGTCAGCGACCTGTCCAAATCCGATCTGGAGGGCAAAGTGGTCTTTGTCCGTGCCGACCTGAACGTGAGCGGCTGGCCAGCCATGGGGCGGGGATATCATGGACTATGTGGAATCTTACAGTTCTCAGAGATAGAATGTGGCCACGTGTGGTGCTTAAGTGGCCGTCCAGGCATCATGTGGACATTCGATGTTGAGACATCTGCATGTTGTGTCGCTGGTACACCCACTCCCTGGCACGCGCCGACACCCAAAGCCTACCTACCCACCCGCCCGTCCCCCTCTCCCCTGCAGGTTCCCCTGGACGGCACGCAAAACATCACGGATGACACCCGCATCCGGGCCGCAGTACCCACCCTGGAGTACCTCATCAAGAACGGGGCGAGGATCCTGCTGGCCTCCCACCTGGTGCGGCAGGGTTGGGTAGGGATATGGGCTTGAGCAAACCAATGCATGATCTGGGCGTAATGTTCTCGCTGAGATTCTTGCACCTTGATGCCTGGGCGTTGCCAGGCACTGCGAGTGTCCGTGGCACTCGTCTGACGTCTCCTCCCTCTCCTCCACTTTGCAGGGCCGCCCCAAGAGCGGGCCTGAGGACAAGTTCAGGCTGACCCCCATCGCCCCGCGCCTGTCCCAGCTGCTGGGGATCACGGTGATCAAGGCAGACGACTCCATTGGGAGCGAGGTGGAGTCCAAGGTCAAGGACCTGAAGAATGGCCAGGTAGGGAAGCTGTGGCTGGGATGTTGGTGTGAGGAAGGGACAAGAGGGGGGGTAATAGAGAGGACCTGCCTGGACTTCCCAATTCGACCAGTGACCCTCTTTCGCCCTTCATATTTTTGAAGGTTCTCCTGCTGGAGAACGTCCGCTTCTACAAGGAGGAGGAGAAGAACGATCCGGGCCATGCCAAGGAGGTGGGCAGTCTGGGTGAATCGTGGGGGCCTGGGATCACCTTTTCTTGTCAAAAATGGGGTCCACTGCAATCGTTAATCAGGCCCTAAGCTGTGGTAGCAGCGCTTTTACATAAAACATTGCAATCCTATGTCCGGCTCTCTTATGCTCCTTCCCCCTTGTAACCGATCAATCACCTGCACAGCTGGCCAAATTCGCCGACGTGTTCGTCAACGACGCCTTTGGGACGGCGCACCGTGCGCACTCCTCCACCGAGGGGGTCACCAAGCACGTCAAGGAGTCTGTGGCTGGGCTGCTGCTGCAGAAGGAGCTGGACTACTTGGGTGAGTCATGGTGGTCACTGGGTGGTCAGAGTATGGCCGGAGGCAGTGCCCACATGTTTGATGGAGTGATCCCGCATGGTTTTTGGGATGAACTACCAGACTTTGCCGCTGTGAGTCGGCAGCAGAATGCATTGCATGAAAACACTGCCCGCGAGGCCCACCAGCAACGGCACCACGGTCTCAACGTCGACCATTTGCATTGAGGCACATTAGCCCCGCACCCCACCCCTCAACCACACCCTGTAAACCCCTGATCTGCAGACGGCGCGGTGAAGGAGCCCAAGCGCCCCTTTGTCGCCATTGTGGGCGGTTCCAAGGTCTCCTCCAAGATCGGTGTGATCGAGAGCCTGCTGCAGAAGGTGGACAAGATCGTGCTGGGCGGTGGCATGATCTTCACCTTCTACAAGGCCAAGGGGCTGGGCGTGGGCTCCTCCCTGGTGGAGGATGACAAGGTGGAGCTGGCCCGCAGTCTGATCCAGGAGGCGGAAAAGCGCGGCGTGGAACTCCTGCTGCCCACCGACGTGGTGGTGGCCGACAAGTTTGACGCCAACGCCAACTCCAAGGTCGTGCCCGTGGAGGAGATCCCCGACGGCTGGATGGTGAGCTGAGGGGTGTGGGCTGGTTCAGTGGAATGGTTTTGGAGATTTCTTTCTGTTTTGTGGGGTCATGCAATGACCATGGCCGGGATTGGCAATGACCATGGCTGGGCAAAACATGGTTCTAGCACGGGGATGAGCGCCGGGGTGGGCTGAAGCAGGCCTTGACTACAGCAATGGTCTCTCCTTCTCTGCCTACGCCCTGGCCTGCGCGCTGCACATGGCTACTGCCACCCCCCCCCAACCCCCGCAATCCCCACCCAGGGGCTGGACATCGGACCCGACTCCGTGGAGCTGGTGACCAAGGCGCTCGACGGCGCCAAGACCATCATCTGGAACGGGCCCATGGGTGAGTCTTGGGGGAGACTGTGGATGGTTTCCGTGGAATGGGGTGACACAGCAGACTGAATTTGCAATGGTTCACCTGTTGACATCCCAGCAGACCGCGCAAAGACTCTTCAGTTGTCGAATGTGCACTCCTGCTGGTGTGGATTGTGAATCCTTGGATTGCCCTCCTCCCGATTCAAGACTCCGTCCCTTCACTTCTCTTTTCTCAAACCGCTTTCCCTCAACCCCCCTCCCCCCCCCACATAATCAAGGTGTGTTCGAGTTTGACAAGTTTTCGCACGGGACATTTGCGGTGGCGAACACTCTGGCCACCAAGACGGACGCCATCACCATCATCGGCGGCGGCGACTCCGTGGCGGCCGTGGAGAAGGCGGGTGTGGCCTCCAAGATGAGCCACATCTCCACGGGTGGCGGCGCCTCCCTGGAGCTGCTGGAGGGCAAGGTCCTGCCCGGTGAGTTGGTTTGGGGGGGGGGGGGGACGGCTGAGGTGGCAGGGGCAGAGTTCTGAATGAGGGGGAAGGCACCCGCTAGCCTTTGTGGTTTGACAGAGTGGGCAGCGTGGCTGGGATGACTTGACGACTGGAAAACCCCCTCCCCATGCCTCGCCCAGCCTCTCTAAGCCCCGCCCACCCTTGCACAATGTACTCCATGCGCCAGGTGTGGCGGCTCTCGACGACGCTTGAGCGCCGCGTGCTTGTGCAGGGGCGTTTCCCCCATCACGCTCATGCATGCGATCTCTGTGAGGCTCGCTCGTCATCGCCATGCATGGAGGCGACGTCTCCTCTCCCCCAGAATTCCTCTTGTTGTAAAGCCATTTGGCTGTCAGTAGCATCGCCAGACGGGATCTGGGATCTGCATCCTCATGACGGACCAGTGGTCCGCCGCCTGCCGCCCCGCCGCCACCCAGCCCCGGAAGCTGGGGCTGCGGCCGCCTCCGCCTCCCGCCCTCCCCTGATCCAGTGCTGCACATCGCTGCTCGAGATCTGGCAGGGGAAGGTGGCGGGAAGGTAGGCCGGCGAGCACCTTGGCGCAGCCCTGGTCCTCGCACAGCGCTGCCGCGGCGGCGGGAGTTGCGGCGCCGGGGTCCACGGCCGACCACGAGGCCAGGAGCACATGGTTCCTCACCGCCGCCTCCTCCTCGTCCGCCAGCACCGCCAGGTGGGGCAGCACCGAGCGCAGGCTGCACGCCAGGCGCAGCAGCCCCTCGTCAGCCTCCCCCTGCAGGATTGAAGCGCGGGGGGGGGAGATGGGAGGGTCACATTCAGGGGCGTGAATGTGCGGCCATGGCAGCATGCAGGTGCGCATGTTGCCGCCTACCAAGCGTCAGCCCCGTCCGACCAAGACACGCACATAAAAGTTCACGGCGAGGATGCCCCGCGGCCTGCGGAGCTTGGAGGCCAGCAGGCGCAGAAATGGGGTCGCCACCAGTGGCCCAGCCACCTCCCCGCCCGCAAAGACATCGTGGATGATGTAGTCATACGTGCCATTGGGCAGGGAGGGCGCCGTCGCCAGCGCATCGCCCGCCAGGAAGAGTCCCGCGTCTGTGGAGCCCAGGCCCTTTGGGATCAGGCCAAAGGCGGCGCTGGCCGCCGTCAGGATCTCGGGGTGCAGTTCCAGCACATCTGAGGAGGAGGAGAGAAGGAGCATGATGAAGGAGCTGATCGGGCCATGACCTTGTCCCCGATGTAGCCATCTCTGTCTATCAGGTGGTAACCAACTGATAGACAGAGAATGGAGCTTGCTGCCCATGGAACAACACATTCTGCCGCACTGAGCCTGCAAGATTACCCACCTGCCACCACGCCGGCGCGCTGCATGCCTCGGACGGCGGTGCCGGCGCCCAGCCCGATGTGCAGGGACCGGCGGCCGCCGGGGACGATCGCTGCGCCAGCCAGCTGCAGGTGGAAGGCGGAGTACACCGAGTGGCCGGCGATCTGGGCCGGGGCGAGGAAGACGCCGCCCATGATGCTGTGCCCCAGGCGAAGCAGGCGAAACCTGGCGATGGCATGGGTGTGTGCGTGTGTGTAAGGGGGTTGCGGCTTTCGTGTACTTGAGGGGTGAGGTTGGTGGCAGGGCCCACATGATGGCAAAGTGTATGGAAGCGGAATGCAGAGTGCCTCCATTGAGTCTGGTCGCAGGAAAAGGAAGGAGGAAGGGCTCAGGAGAGGGCCGCCAGCGACATACCAGTCCCTGGCACGCCACTGCACTCCTGACACCAGCTCACCGAGCTGGCGGCTGGGTGAGCGTAGTACCCTCGATGACGGCGACGAGGTTGCCGTCCCAGCGCGCAGCGGCGCTGCTCAGCACTGAGAAGCCGGGCGCGCCAGGGCAGGGACCAGCTCGACCACTCGCTGCCCTGGATTGCGCCAGGAAGAGGGCTGAGGCCAGGCACGCGCCGGCAACAAGGTAGAGGGTGCGCGGCGTGACCCTGGAGCGCAAATGGGGTATCAGGGCCCTTGCCAGCATGCAGGCGGCGAGCGCGAGCGGGATGGTGGTGGTCGGCCAGGGGGGCAGGGGAAGCTGCCGGCCTGCGTGGAGTCCCGCGGCCGTTGCTGCGGCTGCGAGGCCTGATACTCTGGGCAGGGGCACGCCTCTGAAGGACGTCGCCGTGATCCACCCAAGAAGAATGAGGATTGGGCCTCCACAGGCAGCGGCCGTGAGCCCTGTCCTGGCCAGGAGGCCAACCATGCTCAGGGCTCCTGACTCGCTGTCAAGGCCGGGGGACAGGAAGGCTCGTCCCCACCATTTGCAGGTGATGGGCAGAGACAGCAGGGCCCCGGGGCATGCCAACAGAAGCCATGGCGGGGACCGGATTCCTGGTGCCGCTGCAGCCCCAAGGCCTGCCAGCACCAGGCTGATCAGGGGCACCACTGACTCAGCGACCCAGGAGCCTGTCTGAGGAATCAAAACGATCTGAAGTAGGCATTGTGAGTACGACAGGCAGATCAGGGCCGCAATGCCGTCCAGAGGATGCAGCTGGGGTTCAGCGGTGGGTCGGGCTGGTACAGGTCTGGATCGCTTCATTGCATCCTCCTCTCGGAACGCCTCCCGAGCGACAGCCCACAAATTCAGTGCAGTGACGTCAATGCGAACCGTAACGTGTTGCGAGGTACTCACGCCTGCGCCCCGCTCTGTGTGGCGATGCCATGGTTGCCGATCGGGCTCCCGCCACCCGCGACGAGAAACTCCGTGCTCCCGACTCCAGCATGGAGGAAAGGCATGCAACTGGGCCCATGCCCTGCAACAGTTGCTAAATAGAAGGAGACGCTGTGCCACGGGCCGTTCAGCTGACTCGCTGCACTCCCTCGTCCAATAGAGGCACCCGTCGCCAGGAACACTCGCGAAGAGTGGCTTCGCTAACCGCTGCGATCATCAGCCACCTGGAGCGGGGCAGCACTTGAGATGGCAGGACGTGGGCGTGCTGCTGTGCTGCCGGCATGGATGAAAGGTGAGGCGCGTAGATCTCGCTTGCCTGAGTGGCACGGTCCTGTGTGATGGTCGCGACGGCTGGGGTTTTCTGTCTTGGCCCGGCACCCGCTGGCAGCGGTAGGATGACTCTGATGATCCACATTGGTCCCATTCCAGGTAATGCTGCTCCAGGAGCTCCCGGTGCCAGCGTGGCTGTCTCGGTGAGGTTTCAGCCGGTGTTTCAGCAAGGGGAAGGGTGCACCTGCTCACTCCTGTGCATGCTTGGCCGTGCGTGCTTTATCCAGGCTCCTGCTCCTCCCTGCCGGCTCCCTGCATCGCCACCATCCCATCCCTGCACCACCACAGCGGCCAACCCCCGCTGCTGCTCCCAGCCTCGCCCAGGCTGCACCCAGGGCGGCCGTGCCCAGCGCCGCACCCTCCGGCCCTGGCTCAGCCTGGACCGAGCACACCGCCCCAGATGGACGCAAGTACTACTACAACGCCGGGACCAAGCAGAGCGTCTGGACCAAGCCTGTGGAGCTGCAGACGCCAGAGGTAAGAGTGTTTGTGAGGGGATTGGGGATGGGTGAGTCTGTGCCTTGGCTTGCCCAAGCCTTTACTTTCTGTGGGGACATCAGGGCAGGCAGGGCACGCTGTGGCAGGTAGGGTACGCTGAGGTCCAATGCTGCATGCTGGACGCAGATGATGCACGGCGAGGCGGGCCCTCTTCTCTGACAGCATGCCTGTCCTCCCATCCTCCCCCTGCCTCAGGAGCGAGCTGCCGCCGGGGCTGCCGCCGCCGCCGCCGCCGCCGCCGCCGCAGGGCCAGGCTCAGCCGTCGCTGCGGCACAGCCCGCCGCAGCGCCCGCTGCGACTGTGATCGAATGGAAGGAGTTCACCGCCCCTGACGGTCGCAAGTACTACTACAACAAGACCACCAAGGAGTCGCGCTGGACCATGCCAGACGAGATGAAGCCCGCCGCCGCGGTCGCTGCCACTCCCGCCACCGCTCCCTCGGGCACCAGCCTGACCGCCCCCGCGGCCACCCTGGTGGGGGCGGCCGGCCCCACCGCGGCCGCGGCGCAGGCCGCGCTCAAGGCGGTGGAGGCCGCCCGCTCGGGCGCCAAGGCCGGCGTGTTTGTGGCCCAGCCGGGGTCCATCCAGACGGGCCCCACCCCCCACCACGCCACCACCGCGGAGGCCAAGGACGCCTTCAAGGCGCTGCTCAACGAGACGGGGGTTTCCAGCACCAACAGCTGGGACGAGGTGTCGCGGGCCATCATGGCTGACAAGCGGTGGGTGCCGCGGGGGTGGGGGGGTTTGTGGGAGGAGAGGGGCGGGGAGGCATGGCTCTGGATGCAGTGGGTCTCTAGGGCGCATGAGGAAGGGTGTGTATTTGGCAGGGGACCTGCACATTGTGAGGAGGCTTGGCTCACTGGATCACCACCGCAAGGACTCCTCCCCTCACCTATCCACCCCTCACCGACCCCACACCCCCTTAACAAACCAACCACTCGCAGTTTCGGCTCGCTCAAGACGCTGGGCGAGCGCAAGGCGGCGTTCAACGAGTTCGTGCAGCAGCGCCGGAAGGAGGAGGCGGAGGCGGCGCGCGCGGCGCGCATGGCCGCCAAGGAGGGCTTCTACGAGCTGCTGGACGGCTGCCGCGCTCTGGACGCGCTGCCCAAGTTCAGCCGCGCGCGCGACGAACTGGAGCTGGACCCGCGCTGGCTGGCGGTGGCCTCGGCGCGCGAGCGCGAGGAGCTGTTCGAGGACTGGGTGGAGGAGCGCGCGCGCGCGGAGAAGGAGCGGCACCGCCTGGAGCGCAAGCGCGCACAGAACGCGCTGCGCGACCTGCTGGAGGGCGCGTCGTGGCTGGTGGCGGGCACGCCCTGGCGCCGCGCCCAGGACCGGCTGGCGGGGGTGCCGGAGTTCGAGGCGGTGGACGCCGCGGGGCGGCTGGAGGTCTTCCGCGAGGTCATGGAGGAGGTGGAGAAGCGGGAGAAGGAGGCCGCGGCGCGGGCGCGGGAGGAGCTGGTGCGCTCAGAGCGCGCCAACCGCGCCGCCTTCCGCGAGCTGCTGGCCGACCTGCGCGCGCGCGGCGCGGTGCACGCGCGCTCGCGCTGGAGGGAGGCGCTGGCCCTGGTCGAGGCGGAACCGGCCTACCTCGCCGTAGAGCGCAACACCACGGGCTCCCGCCCCCGGGAGCTGTTTGAGGTGGGGACCAGGGTGATGGCTGGCTATGATTCTTGCTTGGACAAGGACATGGGAGGCATGCCTTGGGGGGAGTGCATGGCCTGGAGCGTCCCCAGAAGGGGTTGTTGCGAGGCGCAACCCCCCTCGACTCACACTGCATACGCACACATCCTCACCTCATCGTGCAGGATCTGCTGGAGGACATGGAGAAGGCGTACCTGGAGGACCGGGCGGAGATCAAGGCCGTGGTCGCGGAGCGTGGCCTCGTGGTTGACATCGACTCCAAGCTGGAGGACTTCCTGGCGGCGCTGGGCAGAGCGGCCCCCGCCGAGGCAGCCCCGGCCGGCAAGGACGGCGCTGCGGCTGACGGCATGGACCGGGGCGACGGGGAGGGCAAGGACGTCAGCGCAGGGGAGGTCACTGTCGCCCAGGGGGCACAAGCGCTGGGCGCAGGGGCCGAGCCAGCCCTGCCCGACTCCATCCCCACCCAGAGCCTGTGAGCGGCACGGGAGGGAGGGTGGTGGTGGTGTACATGGGCCGTGCTGGCGGTACACCTGTTGGGGTCGGAAACGTTTCAGGTTGCATGCTGTGTGTCGTTGCTGTCGCAAAAACTGTGTGCTCTTTCGGCAGCCCTCACCCCCCCGGCCACACCCCGCCTCAACAGTACCTCCCCATCCACACCTGCCCGCACAGGCAGCTCTACTTCGTGGAGCAGCAGGGGCTGGCGCGGGATGAGATCGCGAAGAGGGAGAAGGAGCACCGGTACCAGCGCGAGGACTTTTCTCGCCTTCTACGCCACGAGCGCCGGATAGAGGCGGAGACGCCCTGGGAGGATGCCGTGCAGCTGCTGGAAAAGGAGCCGGAGTGGAAGGAGGTGTGTGTCTGTGTGCGTTTGTGTGAACGGGTGGGGGTTCCAGGGTTCAGCGGCCAGGGTTGGCATGCGAACCGGCAGGCGTATGGCGATCAGGTGCTGACCCGGGGGGGAGGGCTGGAAGGAATGTTGTGAGCGCCTGCTCCTCCATTCCCTGCACTGCAGCTTGAGAGCCTGGAGGAGAAGCGGGAGCTCTTCGATGCCTTCATCGCCAAGCTCAAGGTGCGTGTGGTGTGTTGCGAGAGGGCGGCAGCGTGAAAGTTGACACAGTCTGGGTTTAGGGGGAGGTGGAATACAAGCAAAGACCACCAGACCAAGAAGAGTACAGGCTGGACGGCTCACAGATGCGATCCTAACCAACCATGCCTGTCCCATGCACTCTCACCACGAACCCGCTCTCCCGGCAGGCCAAGGAGGCGGAGCGAGCGGAGCGCAAGAAGTCGCGGCGGGATGATGACCGGTCAGACGACGAGCGCAGGGACAGGAAGCGGCACAAGCACAAGAAGGACAGGAAGAGGTGTGTGTGTAGGGGTGATTCAGAGTGCTAGACTGATGCAGGGCACGTGGGGGAGTATGAAGAGGGCGGGAAGGAGCGCAGGTCGGCACCAGTGCGCCCTTACCTCCCCCCTGTGCTCCACGCCCGTTCTTTCCAACATCACGCAGGCATCACGGCGACAGTGAGGATGAGCGGGACGGGAAGCGCGACCGGCGGAGCAGGGACAGGAGCCGCAGCGAGAGCCAACGGCGATCGGTGGACCGAGCGAGGGGGACCAGCCGGCGACGCAGCGAGAGCAGGGACAGGCGGGACTGATGGGGTCGTGCTTGCAGGCCTGGCGCTGCTTGGTGCCCGAGCATAGCACTGGCTGTGAGTGCAACGCTGGATATGCAGGGGATGCCAGAGGCTGGATGGGCAGCAGCCTTGTTCATCATATCTATGAGTAAACAGCAAGCTTCTCGCAGGCATGCTTGTCGAGTGGTGAGAACAGAGCTTTCGCAGGGGGATCAGTCCTGTTCCGGAAGGCGATCGATTCAATTCTGGGCGCCGTGCGCACAGAGATTCCCGGCGCACTGCAGGCAGTGCAAAGCACTCAGCCTCGCCGATCATCGCCCCATGCTCGGATCAACCCCTTCCAGCTAGTTTGCAGGAGTCGAAACTGCCATGACGCGGATGGAGGTAGGCTGATCCGGCCGGATTGCAATGCACGAACGGTCCGCAAGCACTGCCATGCTCCCGTTTGACCCACCCCCACCGACTGCCTCCCGGCAGATGGAGGAGTGCAGGGTGGTAATCCTGGGCGCCGAAATGGAGGCATTGCAGCTGGTGAGCCTGCTGCCGCGCTCTCTGCAGCAGCAGTGCATGGTGTTAGACCATGCCGGGTCCTGGCTCAGCCGCTGGACCACGGCGTGGCGGGGACTGGGCATCCAGCACCTGCGCAGCCCCGTGACCCATCACCCGGGCCCCGAGCCTGGAGCCTTTTCCGCTTGGATAGAGAAGCAGGGCAGATCAGGGGTGGGTCCCGCGGGTTGGTAATTGAGGTTGCATGTTTGGTCGACTCTCATCATGGTCACATGGTGAAGATGATGCCAATACGTATACTTGCCTCACCCTCATTACACTGCAGGAGCTCCTGGAAGCCGTGCCCGGCTACTCCCCCCTGCCCACAGCACGCCTGCTGGAGGACTACTGCCTGTCCAAGGTAGTGAAGGCCCTCCCGCCCTGCCTCCAGCGCATCCGGCAGGACACCCTGGAGCGCGTGGAGCCCACGCCGTACCAAGGCACGGCTTCTGAATCGGACGGCTGCCTGTTCAACTCGCGCCCCGATTCATTATTCCTTGATGCCTGCCAGGTCACCCACCTCCCACCTCTCTCCTTCATGTTTGACCCAGGCGGACTGACGCTACACCTGGGCTCCGGCGCCGAGGTTCTGACCCGCGCCCTGGTGGTGTCGCGCGTCGACAGCCGCCCCCTCATCCCGCCCTGGGCCGCAGACTTGGTCGACAGGGAGGGCACGGCGGTACGCAGCGCGCACCGCCTGCGCCTGGCCGAGGAGGAGCTGGCGGGCAGGAGCGTGGCCGTGGTGGGCGGGGGCATGACCTCAGTGACCCTGGCGCTCGCTGCCGCGGCAAGGGGGGCGCGGGCGGTCACCCTGGTCGCGAGGAGGTGGGGCATGTTTTGGTGGGGGGGGTGCATGCTGGTGTCGACACTTCTGGGATGTGTCCCTGCTTCTTTCTTCGTCCGGCCATACGCCTGCCGCATGGCCCCAAGATGCTGCAAGCCTCCGTCGACTATTCTCACCTCCCACCCACTCCTCACCCCAGCGCTTACTCTCCACACCACGCTCCAGGCCACTGAGGCAGGCGCCCTTCGAGGTGGGGGTGGGGTGGCAGGGCCCCAAGCTGATGGTGCCCTTCGCCGGTCAACCCGACCCCGCGACCAGGCTGGCGGCCTGCCGCGCCGCGCGTGCGGGGGCCACCATCAACGGCCCCGCCTGGGAGGTCCTGGCCGCAGCCGTGCGGCGCGGCGATGTGGCGGTGCGGGAGGGGCGCACCGTCGAGCGCGTGGCGCGAGAGGGCGACGCTGGCGGCGGTCTGGAGGTGCGACTGGAGGCCACCCGCGGCCTGCACGGCGCTTGCGCCTCGGCGCTGCCAGCCTCCGATCCCTCACCTGGGTCAAATGAAGGCGAAAGCTTGACGGTGGACGAGGTGTGGGTGGCGTGCGGCGCAGCGACCGTGCCGGCCGACTCGGCGCCCTTCACCGTGCTGGACGCCCTGAGCCTCCCGGGGGGCCTATTTGTGGGCGGGTACCCGCGCTGCGACGACGCCAGCCTTGTGCTGCCGGGCGCGCCCGTGTATGTGCTGGGCCGGACGGCGATGCTGGCCTGCGGCCCCACCGCAGGTGCCTGGTTTGATGGTGGGGGCGAGGGCGTGGCTGGACCTGCGTTCCGGAGATGTGGATGTGGGGCTGGAATCTGTCATGTGCTGCGCGGAGGCGAGGCAGGTGCAGGCTGGCAGCAAGGGCGCCGTGTGGTCAGCAACGCATCGTGTACCCCCCTTGACAAAATCTTCCCCCAAACACAAACCCTTCGCCCAGGCACGCTGGGCGGGAACCGCGAGGCGGCCAAGCGCGTGGCGGCCAGCCTGGCGCGACTGGACATGGCAGGCGAGAAAGCGTGGCACGCGGCCGCCGGCAAGCTGCAGGCCGCGCCGGCGCCCAGGCTGGAGCTGCTGCCGCCGCCGGAGGCGGAGGGCGCCATGTGGCAGGCTCCCAGGAAGAAGGTCCGGGCGGTCCAGGCTGTAGTCGCAGAATGGATGCGGTGGTGTGGACCCATGCTTGCTGGAGCTCGTGGTGCGTCCCGCATATGAACCAGCTCACCCGGTGGATCAACGCTTCACACCTTTCCCATTCTCCCTTTCCAAACCCCATGCCCCTTACCAGGTGCCTGTGGCGCGGGAGCCCGACAGGATCGATGTGTCGGACCTTCCCCCCAATCTTCCTCGCAAGGAGCTGGGGCAGTATCGGATGATAGACGAAGGGTTTGACCTGACACTGGTACTGCAACTGGAGGAGCCAGTGACCAAGGACCAGGTGCTGCGGGTAGGGAGGGGTTCATGCGGGACGCCTGTGAGCCTCAAGGCACCTGCAGAAGAGCCCTGCCACCTCCAACTAGGTCCGGAGAATGAAATTTTGAAAGAAAGTGAGGCTGCCCCTTGCCTCTGCCTCCAAACAGTCTCCTCATGCCCGCACCTCCACCCTACCCGTGCAGGTCAGGACGGCCTTTGACTGGCAGTCGCTTGAAGTGTGGGCTGTTGGCCAGATTCAGGCCTTCCACCTGCACGTTCCCAAGCTTTGGGGCCGCATCCTGCCGGGCAAGTGCGGCATAAAGGTGAATGTGCGGACCAAGAAGCTGTTTGTGTGTCTGTACAAGGAGACCGACGCCGAGTGGCGGTACCTCAAGGGCTTTTAGCTTGCTTTGGTCCTGATATGAACGTCTTAATCCTTCTTCACATGATCACTGTGTTCTGTATGCTTGCTGGCTTTTGTAATGAGATGCTCCTGTGAGGTGCATTCAACGCAAGCACCTCGTAGCCTCGTCCCATGTCGGAAGATGCCCACGTGGGAGTGGGCGCATGACGGATCCGTCGTTAAAACCCGACTCACTCTTCTCCTCGCACAATTGTGTCGATGTTGCATGGAAGACTTGTCAGGGCAAGGGATCCAGATCTAGATACGATCCATTGATCTCCTAAACACAGAGAGGCCCAAAAGGAGAGGGGGCAGTCTGCCTCTGGCGCAGTGGCGTGTTTTCCCCGAGTCGCGATCCACCTCACTCTGATTGGGGCCAGGAGGCCAGTCGCTCCGATGTCGGGGTTGGGGCTCCAGTCCCTGACTGCCAGCGCCCTCAAGGTGCATGGGTGGCAAGGGGACCCGTGATGGGCGCCCTGGCTTGACGATCGGGGTCCACGGATCGGTGGGCCCCATGCACGCGGAACACGGCTCACCCTGCCACCCCCTGCCGTCATGCCCGCAGACGGGGACATTGGCTGTGACCAGTCGACTCACATATGCGGTGCCACACCTGTCGGGAGCCATCGACGTGTGCATGGTCCGCCAGCCCGACGGGTCCCTCAGGAGCTCCCCCTTTTATGGCGAGACCTGGGCTGGAAGGGGGGTGGATTGGGTAGGACGAGGAGCTGGCTGGCTGTAAAACCCTGCTCAGTGAAGGCCCGAGGGCACCCCTGCAGCGCCACTTCTCGCTGGGTCATGCGCAGTGTGGGCCGCTGGCTCGCATGCATGGGTATCCACTGATCGTCGCTCTCCACCTCCACTGCAGTGCGGTTTGGGAAGTACACTGGCCTCCGCACGCAGGACAAACGTGTGCAGATCGTGGTGAACGGTGAGTTCTAGGGGTGCATGGCAGGGAAGGCATCCACAGGGTCAGTGCGTCGGCTGGCACCATCCCGCTGGAGCCATCCCTACCCTCCCACCTGGATGACCCTGCCTCCCTCCTCCGCCACCCCCCTCGCCAGGCGAGGAGCTGGACTTTGCCATGCACCTAGGCCGCACTGGCGAGGCCTACTTTGCCACTGAGGAGCGAGTCCCCCTGGACAGCCTCGCCGGCGGCCAGGCTGCCGTGGAGGGCCTGGGCCTGCAAGTGGACGCCGCCCTGGCCGAGGTCGACGGCGGCGCCCCGGTGGAGGACGGGGACGGCTTCCAGCCGGCTTCCGGGGCCATGCGGCGGAGCAGCAGCGAGCCCGGCCTGGGCGCCGCCGCGCGGTCGCTGCCCCTGCCCGGGGCCGGCCAGCCGCTTGCCTCCGCGCCCTCCGACCCGGTGCGCAGCCCGTCTCCATCCCTGCGCACCACCAGGGCGCGCCCCGCCTGGGCGGGGGAGGGGGTGGGCGGCGGCGCCCAGCCCCCAGCCGTGCCCGCCGGTGCGGAGGCCGTCGCCGCGGCGTGCGCCGCCGGGCCGCCGGGCGGCGTGCGCCCCGACGCCACGCTTTCCTCGCCCGCCGACCCGCCACGCGCCAGGGTGGACGCTTCGGCGGCCAGCGCTCCGGCGCGCCTCGCCCCCGACGCCGCGCGGCGCCTGGACCTCGAAGACAGCGAGGCGGTGGATGAGGCACGGCGCGCGAGCGGCGAGGCCAGCGACCGCAGCGAGGCCAGCGACCGCAGCGAGGCCACGCTGCTCGCACTGTCCCTGGGGGAAAACCAGGCAGACGAGGGAAGTGACCAAGGTCCTGCGCCTGCGCAGCCCGCAGGCGACCTAGATGTCGACGAGGCGCCAGACCCAGGTGGCAGCCCGCTCCGGCAGGCGGGGTCCTCGGCCGTGGACATCCCGCGTCCGCGGCGGCCCGGCGGCTCCCGCGACGGCTCGCCAGAGGGCAAGGTGCGTGACTGTGTGGTAGCATGCAGAGAGAAACGGGGCATGCAGGCATCGCCAGGCGTGGGACGTTGCGCATTACAATCGTTGCTGTGGGAATCGGCAACGGCAGACACACACATCCCTCAAGCACCACTCTCTCCCGACGCACACAGTCTGCGGGGCGGGGGGCCGGCGCCGCGGTCTCCGCCCTCTCCACCGCCCTGTCTCGCGCCGACAGCGGCGGCGCCGCCCGCCTCGGCCGGCTTGACCGCGTGCAGCTGTCGCTCTGCCTGCCTCACTTGGCGACGGGCATGCCCGGGCACATCGTGGCGGAGCTGTTTGAGAGGTGGTGTGGTGGGTCTGTGTGTTCTTTGCCCTTTCATGGGCTTGCGTTCCCAAGCATACATGCTCTCCACCGCACGAGGCCTGTGGAGTGAAGGTCACTCGCGCATCCCGTCGCTGTGTTTGTGCCGTTCCTTTTCACATCCCCACCCCCCACGTGCTGACGCGTCGCGCGTGCCTCCCACCACCTCGCCACGCAGGCACCGCGTGTCGGCCGAGGACATGGTGGCGGCCCCCGACGCACTGCTGGCCTCGCCCGACCTCGCGTGCCGCGTGGGTCAGACCGTGTACCCCTGGCCCGCGGCCCTGCCCCTGCTGGTGGCCCTGGTTTCTTTTGGCCCCGACGCGGCCCAGCACGTGCACGACGCGCTGCCGGCGGCGGGCCAGACCTGGCCCATCCTGGACCCGATCGCGACGGGGCGGGGCTCCGGCGGGGAGGCGGACGGGGAGGAGGGCACCTCGCCCCGGATGCGGGGCGGCAGCCCCGGCGGGCGCTGGCGCTCCTGGCTCTCGCTGTCCTGGGGCGGGCGGTCGGGGAGGTCGCGGGGCGCCAGCCCCGCGCCCCGCGACCCGGGCGCCGGGGCGGAGGGGGAGGGCCCGGCGGGGGGCGGGCCCTCCGCCAGGCCGGTGGAGGAGAGGGACGCTGGCCCGGAGCGTGTGACCCCTGAGCAGGCATGCTTTCTTTTGTTTCTTTGGGGGTTGGAGAGGGGGCGTTCCATCCACGGGGACAGCCTGCCAGTCAGGGCGCTCGCCCTCCTGCACGCAACTCCAGATGCGCAGGGTTCCGGGCAGCGCCGTGTGCCTGCCACCCCAGCCTGTGACGCTGCTTGCCCTCTTCCCTCGCTTCTCGTCCACAGGAACAGGCACTCCTGGAGCAGCTGGCCAAGGGGGAGGGCCCGGCCTCCATCCAGGTGCGCATGGAACCCACCGTCGAGATTGCGGGGCCGGATGCGCCATGATTGGCATGCGTGGAACGCAGCTGCGCGCCCCGCTCCCGCTCTCGACCGCGGCCCCCCCCGCCCATCCCTTCCTCTCCGCCGCCAGGTCACGGATGTGGAGGGCCTGCACACCGGCCCCGGCGGCGAGCGGTTTGTCATCCTGCGCAAGCGGGCCTTCGTGCCCACCCAGCTCCAGCTGTCCAGTCTGAGCCCGCTGCTGAAGGAGGGCAGGAACACCATCCTCTTCCGCTTCGGCAAGCAGGAGCTCCACGGTGAGAGGGGGGTGCCTGGGGAGTCGGGGGGGCACAGAGGTGCACCGCCAGCCGCGCGCCGATCGCACCCATGCAGCACACCAGAGCTCCAGCAATCCTCTCGGCCCATCCCCGCTCCCTCCCCTTCAGCCTACGTCTACCTCATGCCGTGGAGCACGCGGCTCGTCATCTCCGACATCGACGGGACCATCACGAAGAGCGACGTCCTGGGGCACCTGGGCGCCCTCCTCGGCTATGGTGAGTGACGCGAGGGTGTAGAAAGGGGGAGAGGGAGGGTCGAGGGGGGCGTCGATCGTCTTGGGGTGATGGTGCAGCCAGACGGCAGCCAGTCTGCACAGAACAGAGGCACGGGAAGCATGTGTGCTCGGCAAAGGACTGGCTCGTCTGGGACCCGCCTTGCATGTAGATGCTGTCCTCAGGTGCCGGTGCCCCTGATCGCTGCCCAAACCCACCCCATTTCCGATGCCCTGCTTTCCACCACGCCGCCAGACTGGACGCATGCGGGGATCACACACCTGTTCTCTGCCATCAAGAGCAACCACTACAACTTCCTGTTCTTGTCGTCAAGATCCATCGCCCAGGTAGACCTTGCCAGCTAGATGAGCCAGGGCTCCCGGCTGGGTGCCGCAGGATCCTTGCTCTAAGCACACGCCCGCCGTGCCCAGGGTGTGCCTAGAATCCATGGAAACACCACACCCTCCACAAACTCAGTTCCCACCCCTTCCCTGCCAGGCCTCCATTACACGTGATTACCTCCACAGTCTGATAGAAAACGGGACCACCATGCCAGACGGGCCTGTCATCATCTCCCCAGACGGCCTCTTCCCATCCCTGTACCGTGAGGTGACTCGCCTGAGGGCGCTGGCCTGGAGCTTGGTCTTGCACAGTGGGAGCAGGGGGGGGTCCGAGGCTTGCCAAGCCCCCTGTGGCGCTGAATGCAGGTGCAGTGCCTCCGCGCCTGGCCGCCTGTCAGGATCGACAGACCCACTCGCGCCTGCCATGCCTGCAGGTGATCCTGCGGCGCCCCCACGAGTTCAAGATCCGGTGCCTCGAGGACATCCGCTCGCTCTTCCCCCCGGACTGGAACCCGTTCTACGCCGGGTTTGGGAACCGGGATACGGACGAGATCTCGTACCTGGCCGTGGGCGTCCCACCCTCCCGAATCTTCATCATCAACCCCAAGGGTGCGCTGGGGCTGGGACAGGCATCAGACCTGGGCTCGGTGGTTTGCATGCCATGGTCGAAGTGGCTTCACTCTGCCTTCCTGAGCTTCGGGATGATCCACGGCACATCTCACAGTGGCTACCCAGAGGGACGGCGCATGGCTGCTCCTGCCATTCGAGCGTCACAGTGCACGCTTCGGTGATTTTGTCCGATCCCCTTCCACCCACCCAACCCTCCCACCAGGCGAGCTCCGGAAGGCCTCCTCGGTGGTGCGCACCTCCACCTGGTCCACCCTTTCTTCCCTGAGCCGACTCGTGGACGACATGTTCCCGGCGCTGAAGGCGCCGACCCTCCAGGATCCTTCTGCTGGCACCCAGGTGCTTGGAGGTTGGGGGGAAGGTGCTGGAGGATGGAAATTGGCCTGCTATGGAGCAAGGGCCCCTGTATCCTCAGCAGATCCCACACTGGGCATGTTCTCTACAAATCATGCTCTCGTGGGGTCTCTGCTGCCACCTGCTTGCTTTTCTCATTCATCCTTTACCCTCGCTCCCGCAGCGCGAGGAGTTTTCTGATTACCTCTACTGGCGGGTGCAACCCCCCATCACCATCGGGTGGGTCGGGTGGCGAGACCTGCCAGTGCATGATGTACTATGCCTGGAGCTGGCAGACAGCGCCTGCTATGGCAGACGGATGCCAGCATGATGCCTTTGCACTGCCAGTTGGTATCCGTCACATGTACACGATTCTCCAGTCGTCTGTGTGGTGTGAGTACACCACCCCCCCGCCACCAGCCGCCGCACCCGCCCAGTCCTTTCCACGCACCCTGTCCATATTGCAGGTCAGAGGACGAGGAGTTCGATGACGCATACAGCCCCACCACCGACAGCAGCGAGGGCAGTGGAAGCAGCGCCAGTAGCGACGACGGCGGGGATGGGGGCGGCATTCCCACGCGGTGACCGACGCCGCGGGGGCCCTGCTCGGCGTGATTGGCCCTGCCTGGGCGCCCATGCCTCTGCCTTTTTGGCCGCAGCCTGCCTTTGCTCAAAGTGTAAAATTATGGGTAATACAAAGGTATGGCCTGGGGCACATGAGTAAGGGTGGAGCACGCAGCAAATCAGGAAAGGATGCATTTACTAGTAGTCAGCACAGGACAAAGTTCACACGGGTGAGCGCGTCGTGACGGCGGGAGCCCCTGGCTGGTCAATTCGTTTCGTTTGATTGGGAGGGGGCCCGGTAGCTGGCGCCCCTCAGAGGAAAATGGTGCAAAAATTCCGTTCCGGGCTGTTCGCCCCGGTCATGGCCTGGCGGCGTGCGGCTGGAGCTGCACGTCACACAGCGTGTGGCCCAGCTGGCGCGCCAGGCTCTCCAGCTGCTGCCGCACGGCCGCGGCGTCAGGCTGCGACGGGCCCTGGGCCCAGGCCTGCGTCTCAGGCCAGTGCGAGGCGCCGCCCGTCCAGGGCCGGGCGAGCGGCTGCGCCGGCGCGTAGGCGGGCCGCGCCAGGGCGGGCGGGGCCGGCTGCGGCGCGTGGGACCACGGCGCCGGCGCCTCCCGCTCCGACACCAGCTTCCCCAGCAGGCGCTGCAGCAGGCCCACCAGCCGGGGGCTGCCGGGCTGCGCGCCCGCGCCGCCGCGGTGGGCCCGTCGCGGCGAGGCGTGGCGGGGCGAGGCGTGGCGGGGCGAGGGGTGGCGTGGCGTGGCGTGGCGTGGCGAGGGGTGGCGTGGCGTGGCGTGGCGTGGCGAGGCGTGGCGAGGGCCGGGGTATGTCGCCGCCGCGGGGCCCACGCGCAGGGGCCCGGGCGCCACGAAGGAGGAGCGGCGGGCGTGGGGGGAGTGGGCCCCGGGCGAGTGGGGGCGGGGGCGGGGCGGCGGGGGCCGGGAGTCTCGCGGCGGAGGCGTGGTCCCCGGCCGGCGGTAGGGCTGGAACGCAAACCCGCCGCCGACGAGGCCCTTGGAGGGCGCCGTGCGCGTGGGGCCGGGGTCCGACGCAGGCCCGCCCCCCCCCCTCCAGCATGGGTTTCAGGGAGATCTCGAAGTCGAACCCGGCGGGCCCCGGCGCCGCCGGCGTGGCGGCGCGCAGGGAGGACACGTCCCCGTCGGGCCGCGCCTCGGGCCGGGCCGACGCGTCGCTGGTGCTGCCGGAGGCAAAGCCGTCGGTGCCCTTACGACGCTCGCGGGGTGCGGGGCCCGCAGCCGCGCCCCGCTCCAGCACCTCGGGCAGCGCCGCCCGGAGCAGGGCGGCCATGGACTCGTCGCTGGAGCGGCGGGGGGTTGGGGCCTCGCAGCCGCCGTCCTCCCGCCCCGAGGTATCCGGGCTGGCGCAGCCCAGGTCGAGCGCCGCGCCGCCGTGCAGCAGCGCGCGCCTTGGCGACCCCGGGGCGCCGGCGTGGAGCACGACCGTGCCCAGCGCCGACTCCTCGCTGGACCAGGTGGCCAGGTGCTGGGAGTCGAGGCCGGGGTGGGGGCGGGGGGGGCCGCCAGAGAGGGGCTGCACCGCGTCGCGGGCGGCGCCGGATCCCGGCGCATCGTTCAGGGAGTGAAAGATGCGCTCCAGGGACTTGACGCGACGGTATGGCCACCTGCGGTGTGGCGTCGAGGGTGGGGGGGACCAGGTTGGGTGTGCGCGGGAGGGACAGCGCGCACTGAGCGTGCTGCGAGGAGCGTGGGGCGATGCGACACAAGGTCAGAGCAGACCGGCTGGGAGGGCATGGGAACGGGCCGCGGGCCATGCCACCACCCTGGAAAGCTCGTGACCGGCCATAATGCCTGTCACCAACCCACCCACCCCTACTTTTTGGAAACCCAACAATCCGAGCTCTCTCTCGATACCTGTCCACGCCGACGCGACGGCAAACGCGCTTGAGCACGGTCAGGGAAATGCCCAGCTGCTGGCATGCCTTGTCGGCAGGCAGGTGAAAACTGGAGAGGTTGGGGGGAGAGACAAGGGTTAGAGCGCTGGGTCTCCTCCACCTCAAAGTGTGTTCATGGGTCGGAGGCATGCAGGGCCAGCAGGCAGTGGAGCGGGCACTGGTCGCCACCCCTCGACTCACTGGGCGGCAACATCCTCCAGGGTGATGGACGATGCCAGCACTCCCTGAGGGACAGGGAGGGGGAAAGGGTGTGGGCTCGCGATCTTGGGGCGACGCGTCGCTTGCGCGGACGGCGCGACACGACGCAATCCCCCATCAACTGTGGGCACACTCACATGCTTGGACAGCTTGCGGCGGGTACTGCGCGTGCGCGAGGGGCCCGAATCGCTGCCGTGAAGATTCGTCGCTGGCGTGGATTCCAACATGTACGGGGGAACCCGCGTGAGGGCTTCAGGCTGGTGCTTCGAACCCGCGTCTTCCCCGTGCCAGGAAAGGCCTGCATCAACCATGCTGGATTATATCCTGGTCTGTGTCCGCGGAGTACTCTGCGGCACGGGGGGGGATGTAGACCGTTGGAGAGTACGGGAGACTTGCGGGCGACTCATGGGAGACTCGGCCAGAACCGCGTACGATTGGGCGGGGAGAAGATTTGTGGCATCACAAGCTCCCACCTGAGCGGCTGTGGGAAGCGCTGAGGTCCACGGACTAGAATTGGTCACCCTCCCGATTCCTTCGAGATAGGGGTCCAGAGTTACGTTACCGCGTGCATACCTCAAGGCCGGCGCAAGGCCACTCGCAAATGCACACTGAATCGTTGCAGCCTGTATTGATGTTTCAGTGCGGCGTCTGGCGCACACGTAGGTTAGATACGGGTCTGTTGGGCCTCGCCTGGGCAGGCTGGAATTTACCCGGGACCCTTGCAACGCTTGGGATGGAGCGGGTAGCTTCCACGACAGCTGCCAAGAAAGCAATCCGCAACCGGACCGGGACACTGTAGCATTTATTGCCGTATTTTGTGGGCGAGTGAGTGGATATGCGCATGAATTGTATATTATCCGTAAAGCATAGCTCTGGACACAGCAAAGATTGAATATCGCTTGGACTTTCTGCAAACTTTACCAACTTCCGTGTCACCCCCCGGACGTGCTCATATTCCTTGCTAGAAGGGGCCGCGCGCGCATCTCGATCGCGGCCCGGGTTGGGCACCGAAGAACACACGAGAATGAGCATATACTGGTATTTGATTAAATGTTCGTTCTGTGCACAGGAGAGACCCGATCCTCTGTTGTTTGCGCCAGGCTCTGCCTTCCACATACACATGACGTGTCCACCTGCGGACGTTCCCAACCTCTGCGGTTGATCAAATGGCCTGCCTCCCGTCAGACGAGCCTCTCGCGAAGCGCCCCAAGGAACAAGCGCGGTCATTCTGAGGTTGTAGTATAGTACAAGAGGACTGCACCAACAATCAATATCCTGAGCAGGCATGGACGCAATTACGCGCCGACCTTTCCGCCCTGTTCTGTTTCGGTGACCAGTCCGCGGAATGCGGACCCCGGCTGCCTCATGAGGTCCCCCGGCGTCCCGAATTCCGCGACCCTCCCCGCATCCAGCACCAGTATGGCGTCCGATCGCATGATGGTGTGTAGGCGGTGCGCGATGGTCAGCACGGTACAGCTCGCGAAGGCCCGTGCGATGGTGCCCTGGGTGGTTCCGGGGATGGTGGGAGTCAAGGGGCTGCCCCGGGCGTGACCCCCGCGCAGCCTCCACGACCCCCCAGAAACCCCGCCTCACCTGCACCATCGAGTCGGTGGCGGTGTCCACGTTGGAGGTGGCCTCGTCCAGGACCAGGACGCGGGTGTGGCGCAGCAGGGCCCGCGCCAGGGCCAGCAGCTGGCGCTGGCCCTGCGAGAGGGAACCCCCCCCCTCGCTCACGCCCGAGTCCAGCCCCGCGGGCATGCCACGCACCGCGCGCTCCAGGCCCGACTGTGCCAGCGCGTCCCACAGCCGCTGGTCGTCGGCGCCGGCCGTGCCAAAGGGGTCCAGGTTGGACCTGATGGTCCCCGTGAAGATCACCGGGTCCTGTGGGGAGAGTGGGAAGTAGAGAGATTTAAGAGAGTGTGTGGGTAGGTGCTCCCCAGGCGTCAGCGGCCAAGGCACCCGGCGGATATTAGAGCGGGCGTGGCAGGCCTTCGCCGGGGCTGCAGACCCGGGGACTCGTCCGCCGGCGGACCTGCGGCACCAGGGCCAGCCTGGAGCGGAGGTCGAACAGGCCGATGCTGGCGACGTCGATGCCGTCCAGCACGATGCGTCCCGCACACGGCTCCACCAGCCGGTACATCGCCAGCATGAGGGTGGACTTGCCACACCCCGTCCGCCCGGCGATGCCCAGCTGTGGTAGAGGGGGTGGGGGTGGGGGGGGGGGCGGGCGGGGCGGTGTCATCCGCTCGGTTGAGAAAAACATGGTGGGGGCCAGGGTCAGACCGTCGTGGGCAGGTCGGGCAGACGAGAGCAGCGCAACCAGGCTTGCACTGCATGGACACGTGCATCCACGGCATGCCATGTTGCGTGCCTGCCCACTCCACCCCCTTCCCCACGCGCCAAGCCCACCTTGGACCCCGCCGGGAGGGAGAAGGAGACATCGTGCAGGACGGGGGGCAGAGAGGGACGGTAGCGCACCGATAAACCCTCCACAGCCAATGCGCCCTGGTCAGAATGATGGGAAGGGGGTTGGTGGGGGGCTCTCGACAGCACCAGCGCGGCAAGGTGCGTACCTGTGACAGCCTGCCCCTCCTCCCACCCCTCTACTCGCCTGGGTCGGCCATCCCGGGAGGGGCCGCCGCCCCTCGATCACAGCGGGCGCCTCGATCTCGAAGCTGGCATACTCCAGCAGCCTCTCCACGGAGTTCATGCTGATCTGCGGGGCGCAAAGGGGGGGAGGGGGGGAGGGTTAGGGGGGAAGAAGGGGTTCGGGGGGGGGGGCTTCCTCACATGCTGGTCTAGTCAGCACCCACGGCACCGCACTGCCAGTGAGGACTCGCATCCCCCTCCGGGCCACCCTTTGCCACACCTCCATCTCTGTGGTCTGGCGCACAGCCCAGGACATGAGGCCCGTGGCCTGGAGCGCGGAGGTGATGGCTAGCCCCGCCAGGCCGGCGGAGTGGGGCTGGAGCACCGCCGCAAACAGGGCCGCGCCAAACACCACTGCATGAGGGTGTAGGGTTTTGGTCTGGGGTACTGCTGGGGAACAGCGGTCTTGCGACCAGGGATTCGGTGTGTGGAATGCATGGCTCATCGGATATTGCATCTTGACAGGGACATGTCACCCGAACCAGGTGGGGTGACAGCCGCGGCCCGGCTTGAAGCACGACGCCTTTGCGGGGGAGGGCACGCGCAAAGGGAAATTCCCTTCGGCCGCCCCCGGCCACCCACCTGATGTCCCCAGGAGCTCCAGCCGCACCGACAGCCAGCGGTTGACCACCTGCGCATGCATGTGGGTGGCGACGGAGTGACACAGACAGCGCGATGGACAACTCGGGTCTCTGGAGTGCAAGGATTTCTGAGACCGACGTGCTGCTGCGGGAACAGCGAGTGGAGCATCCGAGCAACCCAGGAGGAGAATCCTCCAGGAAGCCTCTAGCCCGGTCACCCATGGCCACCCTGCATCACCTGGCTGGGCCACCACGCCCTGTTGGAGGCGTCGAGCATGACGCAGTTGCTCCGCGCAAAGGCGTCCTGCTGCCGGAAGGCGCGCACGGTGACCAGGCCCTGTGATGAAGAGGACCGCAATCGAGGGCAGTCGGCTGGGTTTTGTGCAGGCGCGCTTGCGGACTAGAACATGTCCATGAGCGGCCTTGTACAGGAGGGTCATCAACCACGCCACATTCGTCTTCATCGCCCCCCACTCTGCATCGCTCATCCTCTTACCCCCTCAGCAGCCCCCCTCACCGACAGCGTCTCCAGGAAGTGGCTGTAGATGGGGGACATGGCCACCGAGTCCAGGCGCTTGATCTCGCGGCTGGTGGCGATGAAGCGCGCCTGGACCCAGAGGTAGGCCAGTGCCAGCGGGACCAGCATGGCCATGATGGCGGGGGACACCGCCACCACCAGCACCAGGCACCACAGCACGCTGCGAGGGCAGAGGAAGGGTGGAAAGTGGGAATGGTGCGCCAGTTGGTGGGCGCTCCAGGGCAGGACAGGCGTAGAGGTCCTGGGGCGGCATGACACATCCTCCTCGCACCTGACGGCGCAGGAGGTAAAGGACCTGACCGAGTCGGGCAACTGCACGTCCACCGCCTCGGTGTCACGCGTGAAGCGATTCAGGAGCCGGCCCGTGGGCTGGGAGTCGAAGAAGGACATGGGCAGGCGCAGCACCCGAGTCAGCAGGTCATCCTGGCAAAGGGGTCGGGAAGGGGGGGCTCAGCAGGGAGAGGGAACCAAGACATAGTCTACTCAAGCCTATGAACCCAGTTGATCTGCCCATGCATCGCATGCTTGCCACAGGATGGCAGCCTTGAGTCGGCTGCCCCCAGGCCCCAATTGTGCCCCGCCGACAGGATGAGCCAGACACACAAGACGAGCGCCTCTTGGCTGTATGCATCTTTGAGTGTCTGTCCCACTACACATTACCACTGCGCAGGCGCCCAAGCTCCCCTCCCCCCCTTACAAACAACCCACAAGAACCCTCCACACCTGCAGGGTGCGGGCCGCGCGGATGGCCCCCCACACCAGGCACAGCCCTGAGGCCAGCTGGACGAGGAGGGAGGCGCTGCCCAGCGCAGCGTACACGACGAGGTAATAGTTTGCGGTGTGCGCGCTGTGCGGTGCCACGATGTCCACCGACCAGAGGGAGAGCCACCAGCTCTGCGCGGCCTGCATGCCCTTGTCGGCCACGGACAGACCCAGCATGGCGAGGGGGAGCCACCACCAGGCGCCCCACGCCGCAAAGTAGCGGAGGTAGAGCCCGCGGTCCACCCGCCCCACCGCCCGCTGCTCCACGTCCGTGGTGCGGTTGCCGGCCTGCGCCGCGTTCCTCCCGGTGACAGCCAGCCCGGGCTTGGGCGCGGGCAGGCCCTCGGCGGGCTGAGCCGCTGCAGGCCGCGCCTGCCCTGCGGACACCACGACGCACGCCGCCTCCGCCACCGCCGCAGCTCCCTGCGGCGCGGGGTCCTCCATGACGACGTCGACGAGCCCTGGTTCACCTTCCCCGGGCACCGTGCTTTGGTCGAAGTCAGCCGCGTGACGGGGCTCCGGCAGCGGCGGCCCCACCCCTGCACTGCCCGCCGCCTCCGCCGCCCGTGCCTGCCGCTCAAACTGGTGGAAGTCAACGCCGGCGGCCAGCAGGGCGGCGTAGGGGCCGGTATGCGTGATTCGGCCATCCTGGAGCACGATGACCACATCCGCAGCAGGCAGGTACTGCAGCTGGAAGTAGGGAGTTTGGGAAGGGGGGGGGGGGGGGTGAGTGAGGGCTTTGGGGGGAGGATGCATGCAGGGTCACTGCGATGGACGACATTTTGGACGAAAGGGTGGGCAGACACGTTTCTCAGGGGGCACCGGCAGCATCATTTGCACACACGGCATAGACTGGGAACGGCCCCATGTTAATTTGGGTAGGCCCGAGGGGCACAGTGCTTGCTGGTCCGGGACCCCTGACGCCCGCTGTCCATCCCCTTCATGCAGCTCCCGCCAACTCAAACCCGCACAGACCTGATGCGTGACGAGGACGCGCGTCTTACCGGCCAGCAGGCCACAGATGCAGGAGGAAAGCAGGTGGCGCCCGACGTGCGCGTCGACCGCCGACAGCGGGTCATCCAGCAGGTACACGTCTGTGGGTGGGGGGGAAAGGGGAGCGGCTCGATGAAAATCATGAGGCCCCTAGCCATCTTGTACCAAGTGTTTGCATCGGGACCCCCCAACCGGCCCAGATGTGCCGATCCCGGCTCCTGCACGTGAGCACCGCCCTTGGGCACACACCCAATCCGGCCTTCATGCACGACCCCAGCAGCACGTCATGGCCCACATCTTCCCTCAGGGCAGTGCATGCAGGCCAGCAGCCCCTGTGCCCCATATCCTTTATCTCCCCCTCCCCGGGGCCGGCCCCAAAACAGAAAGAATCCACCCACCGGCATCTGCGAAGCAGGCCCGTGCCAGGGCGACGCGGTGCCGCTGCCCCCCCGACAGGTTCACCCCCTTCTCGCCGATCTCCGTGGCGTCCCCCGCCGGCAGCGCCGCGACGTCCTGTCCCAGGGCGCAAGCAGCCACCGCGGCGTCGTAGGCAGCGGTCCGCGCCCCGCCCAGCGTCACATTCTTCTCCAGGCTGGCGTTCTGGATCCAGGGCTCCTGCGCCGTGTACGCCACCCGGCCCCGCACCGACGACGTCCCCTGGTGGGGTGGGGTGGGGAGGACCGGGGGAAGAGGGCGGTATTGAGCGTGGTGAGGCATGGGATGGCATGGAGGAGCTTGGCAGGGGGCCAGGCATTGAAGGCGATGAGGGTCAGGAGAAACTGCCCGAGCACCCAAACTGGGCCCGCTCGGTGACACAGGTCCGAGGGGTGATGACAAGGCAAGCCCAGGGCCCCCTGCACACGGGGAATGACCACCACAGGTTTCACCCCACCTGGAGCCGGACCATCTCGTTCAGCAGGGCGGCCAGCAGACTGGACTTCCCGCTGCCCACCGGGCCAACCACAATGGCCAGCTGGCCCTTGTTGACTGTCGAGCGTGTGTGTGTTTCATGGGTTGTGTGGGGTTGGAATGAGGGGACTTGGAATTCCAGGATCACCTGGTCACGCCGTTTGAGCACAACATGTCCCGCTCCAGGGTCCAGCAAACCAAATGAGGAAGAGGAGGAGTCCCAAGACAAGGGCGAATCTGCCATCCCCACACCTTCCAGGCAGATGTCGTGCAGCAGCGGCTCGCACTTGGCGTCCCAAGAGAAGCTAGCATGGGAAGCCTGGACCACCGGCGTCGCTTCAGGGGGCCCCGCGTCCAGCGGGGCGTCGGGTCCTGCCTGCGCCACCTCCCCCGCCTGCGTGCAGGCGATGGGAATGAGCGGAGCCTCAGCCTCTTGCCTGGCTCCCTTGAAAGGGAGCCGTGAGTCGGAGTAAAGTGTCTGCACATGCATGGCACCCCTCCCACAGCCATGCACAGCAGCCCCTGCACCCCAGGTCGACCAGGCACACACCTCCATGAAGGTCTGGATCCTCCTGATGGCCACGCCGCAATTTATGAGGTCGGTGATCTGGCGCGGGAACATGATGATCGGGAAGCGGAGCAGGTTGAAGAGCGCAATGGCGGGGAACGCCACGTCAGCGGACAGCGTGTGGCCCAGCAAGGTGTAGGTCATGAATGCCTATGGTGGAGGGTGGAGAGAGGGGGAAGTGAGTGGGTGGGAGGGGAGCGACACTGGGCTCCAACCACGCACCACCAGGCATGCTCAGCTTGCGATCGCTGTGCTGCATTGCTGACGAGCTCCACATCTCAACAGACTGGCTGCATGAGAATTTCTACAGCACCGTTCCCCCTCTCCACCCACAACGATGGTGATGATGATGGGAGCGCCCTGAAAGACGAGCGAGTTCACGGTGTTCAGCAGCCCCGACCACAAAATTTGCGCCAGCTCCTGGTTGGGGAGGTGGGTGGTGTCTGAGCGCCTGAAGTGGCGGGGGACAGAAAGGTGCAGCATGGTGCTGGGATGGCACTCTTGTGACAACGCCCATGGGCTTTAATACCGCCATTTCCTGCCCCAGCATCACCTGCTGCCGTAGGTCGGTGATGAGCAGACGGTATGGCTCCTCCCAGGCGTACAGCTTGATGGCCTTGATGCCTGTATGGGGGAGGGGCCGTCAGCCACCAGGCAAAATTTGACCCAAAGTACAGACCATACTGGGTGCAGCCTTGCTTGGGAAGCAGCCCAGACGGCATTGTCGAATAATCCTGCGAGGGTCCCCCAGCCACCTGTCAAGACTTCGGTGCACAGCTTGACCCTTGCGTCGGTGAGAGTCATGCTCTCCTTGCGGATCGACGCCAGCTTCTTCCCCAGCAGCGTCAGCAGGGGGATGAGTGCCACGGTGACGGCCAGCCCCGTCACGGCAGACACGACGCCTATCACCCGCATGAGGAGGCCCATGACACACAGGATCTATGTGAGGTAGGGATGGTGAATGGGCCACTGGGTGCCCAGGCGCGGTGCAGCGGGATCCCTGCTCAGCGCGGGGGCGTAACACCTGCACTGAAGATGACCGCAGTAAGATAATGTTGCGCAGGAATCATGCTTCACCTGGAAGGGGCCGCTCCAAACCATGTGGAGGTACTGCGGGAGCTGCCACCTGCAGGCAGGGCGAGGAAGCAGAAGTTCGTAAGATGCATAGAGCGATCATTCATCTTGGACACTTCCGGGACACCAATCGGCAACGGACTGGATGGAGTCCAAGTCAGTACATCAGTCTCTCAAAGCCAGTGCGGGGATGCAGGACTCCAGCTCCAACCCCCATCCCAAGTCCACTGCCTGCCCCACGACAGGGCAGGAACGCCGGCTGCACCAGGCACACGCCAACGGCCCACCAAACATCTCCTGAACCCAGGCAGGCCCCAAACCCCACGAGCACAACCCTGGCCGGCACGCACAGCTTGGCGGCGTCGTTGCTCTGCAGATTGTTCACCACCCCCGCGCCGAGCTCGGAGCGGGCGCCGCAGGAGATGCGCAGGCTCTTGCGGTACAGCATGTCCACCAGGCTGCACTTCAGGTGCGCGCACAGCCGGTACAGGGAGTGGAAGTAGACGTTCACCAGCAGGGTCTGCAGGAGACTCGTGCCGGCCAGGCCCAGGGCAAGCAGCAGGCCGATCCAGGGCGACCCCCTGAGGGTTGGAGGGGTTACGGCGAGCTGGGGTGGGTGCCGGCTCGGGGGATTGTGGCGAGTGCAGGGGGCCAGGAGGGTGACGGCGCGAGCCCTTGACTTACGGCTCTACCTTACACACTCAGAGGGGTGTTAGACTCTGCCCCTCGCCCCCACACGACGCCGCAGTGGCGCGAAGGGGCCGTCACCCCTGCGCTACATGCCCCCGCGTGCAACGTCCGCCCCCAGGCCCACCTCTGCTGGACGTGGACGAGGAGGCGCTGCAGCAGGACGGGGCTGGCCAGCATGACACAGTCGTGCAGGAGCTTGACCACGCCCGACCACAGGAGGCGCCCCCGGTAGCAGCGCCACAGGGCGGCGTGCACTCGGCCGTGTGGCTGGGCGCTGGAGGAGGCGGTGCTCGCCAGGTGCCACTGGAAGGCCGCGGCCACCTCCCCCGCCGCGTCTTCGGGCATGGTGCCCCAGAGGTCCTCGGCGTCCAGCGACTTGTGCAGGCCCTTGGCCAGGAGGGGGTCCACCCATGTGAACAGGAGCCTGCTCACCAACCCAGCACCCTGCTCAGGGCACCAGGCACCGCCTGTGCATCGGTGGGCTGATCCATGTTGGTATCGATGTGTGACCAAGAGGCGCTGGCGTTGGCACATGGCATGCCCAGCCCTCCCGCACCCCGGCGCACCTGTGGCCGAGGTGGCCTCCTCGGCGCCCAGGGCGGAGTATGCAGGGTCGCGACGTAGCCACCTCCACCTGCATGCGATCGCCACAATGCACGTGAGATGCAGTTACCGGGCCATGGCGAGGCATGCACTCGCATTCCTGCTGACAGATCATGCACCCAAGCACCGTGCCACGACCTCGTACCATGACGTTGGTTCATTCTGGGAGACGGGGACCTTGACAGGCCCCCCCTCGACGTCGAACCCGTACATCTCCTTCTTTAATGCACATGAGAGCCTTGGTAGAGTGGTTTGGAGAAGTATTGGCTGATGTGAGCCCTCTGCTCATCTCGGTCGGCACCTGGGTGACGTGGCATCCCGGGCAGCGAGATCAAAACCCTGGGGAATGGCTGATGTCTTCGTAAGCCCGCACCTGAACATCTCATCTGGCCGTGCACCCTCAGGAAAGCCAACGATGCGGAGATTGTGGCTGCTTATAATACCCAGCTAGGTGCCCGGAACTCACCAGGTGGTCCCAAGAATGCTTGCCGGTGGCTTGAAAAATTGAGCTCACCAGAGGACATCAGAAGGAAATTCTCCCAAAGATGACTACAATCCACTTAATCCATGCGATGGAGATGTGTGAGCATTTGCTTACCGCTACAAATGCTTTATCTGATCCGGGGAACACAGGAAAGTATCCTGCCTGTAGTGGGATGTTAACATCTTCGGACTTTCCCCACCCCGCCAGGAATAGGAATTGACACCCTGAACGCAGCACTTGCGTGCCGAGTGTTTGTCAGATGGACTATCCCTTGAATAATAATATTGACCTTAAAACTCCTTTGTGTATATCAGGACGGCCTGGAGGGGTGCCGCTGAGATATTATTGCTCGTTCGGGATTTGAGGGCCTTGATGCGGAGGGGTGTCGAGCCTCTCGATCTCATGACGCGAGTCTCTTAAGAGCCTCTGCCAGCGGTGAGCTGTGCTCTGTTGGGATTCGTGGCTGGAATCATGGCGCTTTTGCATCCGAATCTGGTCGTAGGTATCCCAGCGCAAATGTGGACCAGACCGAGACGTCGCAATCCTTCCCTTGACACCTATGCAGAGGAGCAGCGGCGACATGGAGGGTCACGGTCCTCATACAAACCTAATTGAGCGTGCGATAGAAGTCGCCAAGTCGTGCCATGATGCCCAGGCTGCTCCTACGAATTCGTCCGGGCAGGTTCGTAACACTCCTGTCGTCCCCCAACACTTTGTATTGCATCCTGGCTGCCTTCCGGAGATTCTTTGGCCCGCTGGTCATGATAGAATAAAATCAACGCTCCAACCTTCCCTCGGTGCGCAGAGCTCGGCCAGCTTGGAGAGAGCTAGACCTGCCACCAGCGTTGCCCAGCGGGAAACCCCCTCCACCCTGCGGCCTGCCACCTACACTCCATGGAAACCCAGTGTGGATGTGGATCTGACGAGGGACGCAAACAGTTTCCCCCCACGCCCATCCACCAGTCCTCCACAGGGCCCAATCGCTGGGTCTCCGGCTGCCGCAGCTGCCATGGTGGAGCTTGAGATGGTTGGGTCAGCGGGCCGCGACCCCAGGCGATGCGTGCCACGCCAGGACCCCCTTCCCATCAAGACTTCAGGGAGGCCGCTCCCGGGGCCTGGCAGCAGCCCTGCAGGCCGCGCGTGTCCCAGCGCTGTGTCAGCGCCGCTCTCATCCGGCGTGCTCCAATCCCTGGGTCTCGCCCAGTACCTGAAGCACCTCCTGTCCCGGTGCGGGGAGTGCCCCGTGGCGTGGAGCGAGATGGCATGCTGCCTCCTGCATCTGGAGGCGCTGGGGCTCCTGCACATCCAGTCCACGAGCCACGGGGTGGCGCCCGGGGTGCTGGACCGCCTGATGTGGGTGCTGGGCATCCTGTACACGCTATGGCGGGCACACTTTCTCACCCTCGGCAGGGCCACCACCCCGGCGGCCGGCCGCGCGGCAGCCGCTGCAGAGGCCGTGAAGGTGGAGGCCCTAGCCGAGGCACGCGTGGAGGGTGGCTGCCCGACACCGGCGCCCACGGCCCGCCTCTCGATGAAGCCCGCGAGCGAGCGTGGCAGACCGGAGGAGGTGCAGGCGCCGGCCCTGTGCCCCGCACCGGAACCCTCGACGGCCGCTCGATCTTCGGGGGGGAAGCGGCGCGGCACCCGGCCGCCGCAGCACCTGGGCCTGGCACCTGCAGGGCCCAGAGAGCGCGACGGAGCGTCCTCCTTGCCGGGCGCCGACGGCGCGCACCCTCCCACGACCCAGGGCGTGAGTGCGGCCGAGGGGCGCGGAACGGGTGCGGCCGGCGACGCGAGGTGTGGGGGGAAAGCACACCCGATGAGGGGCGGCGGCGCCCCGGCTGTCACTGCCGCCGGATACCTCCCCACCCGTGACGCCTGTGGAGCCACATCGGCATGCACGAAGCCAGGGTCCAAGATGCGGCCTGGCAAGCAGCCCTACACCCTGCTCCGGAGTTCGCCTCGCCTGGCTGCCAAGGAGAGTGCGGATGTTGGCAGCCCCAAGAGCGACGATTCCCCCGGCTCTCCAGACTGGGGTTCCGACTCGACCCCCCACGCTGCGCCGCTTCACGGAAAGACGCGGTGGGCTGAGCGAGGTCACGGGACCGGGGGAAGGGGTGGCCCGAAGCTCCACTCTGATCCCCGTGGCAAAGTGTTAGAGCTTACCGGAGGAGCGGCGGAGGGGGGCGGCGCGGAGGGGAGCATCCCCCGCCGCCGCGAGACGAGTGTCACGAACATCCCTGCCCAGGCCCGCTTGCGGCTGGGGAGCAGGGTCAGGCCCAGCCCCGCAGCGCCGGCCGTCCAGCGGCCCTGGGCCCCGCCGCCGCTCCAGCGGCAGTGGCCGGAGTGCCTGAAGCGCAAGCGCAGCGGGAGCCCCGGCGTGTCGCAAGCGACGGCGCCCACGAAGGGGCCCGAGCCGGCACCGAGCGGCGCCGTGCTCTCCCCACTCGCTCGCCAGCCGGGCGGCAACTTCCGGAAGGCTCCCCCCGTGCCCTGCGAGGACCTGACCTCGACCCTGGAACCCCTGCATGCCGGTGCGGCGTTGCCAGGCGGGGCCGGCGCGAAGGAGGCAGCGCCAGCCCTGCCTGGCCAGGCGTCAGCTGCGGCGCCTGCAGCCCAGGTGTCTGTTCTGCAACACGAGCACCCCCAGGGTCCTACGCCGGCACAGCAGGCACCTGCTTCGACGTCCCCTTGCCAGGGAGGACGCAAGGAGGCGGCGAGCTGTGCGCCGCTGAGCCCGCTGGCTCCCTGTCAGCCCCCGGCGCCTACTCCCCGGGGCGGGGCGAGCGGCGAGCACGTCCCACAATTCGGCGGCTTCCCCGGCGTCAGGCTCGAGGCCGCCCCACCGCCTGACCTGGGCGGGGAAGCTGAGGCGAGCGACCCTGCTCGTGCGGCTCCGGGCTCCATCCCGCCGAGCGCCGACGCAGCATCTCCGGCCTGGTGGCAGGCCGCGCCGCCAGCGGCGCCCCCCACCACCACCACGGCGCCGGCTGCGCAGGATGCCCCGCGGCCGCCTGCGAGCCTGGAGCCGCCGCCGGCGGGTCAGGCGGGGCGGCCGTCGGCTGCAGCGCCGCGCCCGGCAGATCCGCTGCGCAGGGCGTCGTCTGACGCGGCGCAGGCTACGATCGACGACCTGGAGGGGCAGCTGGTCATGGCTCGCAGCATGGTGGCCAAGCTGACCAAGCACCTGAAGGCCGCGGACGCGCAGATCAGGGACCACGTCACCGAGATCGTGCGTGGTTGAGGGGTGCTCGCGCTTGGCTCCCATGCGGGAGAATGGGTCTGAGGGCTGGGGATTCGCACTCCTTCTGCACGGCCGGCATGGCGATTGCATGCTGCAGGACCAGTTTGCTGGCTTGCCATGTCCAGAATCCACGGCCAGGCACTCCATCCCGACCGACGGTGACAGGCCCCCACCGCACGCTGCCTTGCAGAGCGAGCTGGCGCAGCAGGAGGCCGAGAACTTTGCCTACCGCAACCGGCTGCAGCAGAGGGAGGCGGAGCTGGAGCAGAGGGAGGCAGAGCTGGAGCAGAGGGAGGCGGAGGTGCAGGAGAAGCAGGCGGGGCTGCAACAGGGCGTCCAGGTGACTGCCCAAGGGCATGAGGCCAGCGAGGCGCGGCTGAAGGAGCGGGAGGCGGCGCTGATCGAGATAGAGGCGCGCGTGCGCGCCCGTGCTGCCCGCCTGCACGACTGGTCGACCCAGCTGACCCAGAGCCGGTCCGACCTGCTGGGGCGGCTGGCGGCCATCCAAGACTGGGAGCGGTCCACCACACGCTGGGGCGCCGCCTCCCTGGCCGCCAGGGAGAACTGGGTCGTTGCGTGCGTGGGCGTCCTCACCAAGCGCGAGGACGACGTGAGTAGGCAGGAGAGGGGGGCGGGCAAGCAACTTGCAGGGGTGGAAGTGGGAGGGGGGCCAGTTGAGACGGCCATGGTGTGCGGGAGGGGCAGGCATGGATCAAGGAGGGCAGGCTCCGGGGGAATGATTGCAGCGCAAGGTCCCAGCCAGCCAGTCGCACACGAGTGGGCGTGGATCCATGACGGCCAGAGCGTCGGGAGCACCTGCTGTGCCTGGCGCTGTGGCACCCCAGCCGCCTGCCCAGCTGGAGCCCCTGCCGTCGCCCCACGCGACCCCAGGCCTCGCAGCCCACAGCCCCGTGCCTCCCTGTACCCCCTCAGGCCAAGGCCCTGCTGGAATCGCTGACCAACCTGGCGAGCATGCTGGAGAGGGAGGTGGCGAGTTCCGATGCGGTGAACCCGCAGGTGCTGGCATCCCTGCGCACCACCTGCGTCCTCCTCGAGCAGGTGCGCCTGCGGTGGAGTTGATGGGGCGCAGGCACCGAGATGCAAAGCATGCAGGGGCAGCCAGCTCTGCACTGCCATGCGGATGGCTTCGTGAGGAGGATGGAGGGCAGTCGAGGTCGGAGTTGCGCCCCGTTCACTACCGGGGCCGCATGCATGCGCGACGCACCTGGCCTCGTGTGCCGGCTCTTGTACGGAGATGAGGTGACGAGACGTGCCCCTACCCCCACACCCTGTCCGCCCTCGCAGCTGCATCGGGGGGCCAAGCCCTCTGCCATACACCCCCCGCCCCCTCCCGGCATCTGACGCCGGCGAGCGGGGCCGGCAGTCGTCTGGTGGGGACGGTCGGATCATGCACCTGCACCGCCCGCGCTCCGACAGGTGGAACAGCGAAGCGTGTGGTGTTGACAAACGCAGCAAACTCTTTGCCGGAATGGCACGAGCCGACTGAAACCGAGGCACTGCATAATGATACAACAGAGGCTGCCAGACTACACAGCACTGTCTCCTGAATACAAGGACTCTGTCTTCTGCTGCCAGTACTTCAAGGCCGGCTGTCGCATGCACCTGCTTGCCCTCCCAAAACGAATCGACCCCTGAGCTCCTGAATGCATCGTCTGAGGCACTCGGGTGCCCAACCCTCAACCCGGCTGTCACACCGCGATTCTTGTAAACATATGGATCCTGGCGGGGAAGGATGCACCCCTTGCCACCAGATGTGCACAACGGCTCAGCAACAGCGTGGCAGGTGCCCAGGGTCACCCCAGCGCGACTGGCGTGGCCTGGTGCCCGATGGCCAGTGCCGTGACCAGCAGGCCGATGACGAGGAAGGGCTGGGCCGTCGCCTGGTACTTGACATCGTTGGCCACGGGGTCGGGGAGAAAGTAGCGCACCTGAGCGTACACCTGCGGATGGATTGGGGTGTGTGGGTGGGGAGCAGATTGGGGAGGGGGCCGTCGGGGAGGCATGGCCTGCATGAGTGCTCTGAGCGCGGCCCTTCCCGACCTGACAGCAGTCGCATTCACAATAGGACGGCCAGCCTCATCCCTGCGCAGACAGGGCCAAAAAAACGAGCTGCACACTCCTCCCCGGCAAGGCCTCACCTGGGGCGCCAGGCAAGCGGCGATGCCTGCTGCGTAGTAGGGCTCGTTGAGGCCCCATGCCAAGTACGCTGCCACGCCGAGCTGCGTGACGTCGATGCTCGCGGCACAGATCCACTTGGCCTTCTCGATGCCAAACGCTACGGGCAGGCTGTTCAGGCCCAGCTCGCGGTCGCCTGAACGGGGAAGGAGGGGGAGGTGGGTTGGGGCCCAGAAGGTACGATGACTGGAGGAGCAGGCATGCTTTGGTGAGTGGGGCAGAGCAGCACGCAATTCAAGCACTTTGGGAACAGCCTGCTGACAACACACAGATCCATACAGCGCCCGCCCTCTGCCGATTGCAGGGCGGGAGCATGACATAGTCCTCCCCTGCGACCCTGCCTTTGATGGATTTGAAGTCGTTGACGATGGCAATGCCCAGGCCGGCAATGGAGTACAGCATCGTCAGGATGGCCACATCCAGTCGCAGCTGGCCGAAGAGGATCTGTGGGAGGATGCAGGCGGAAGCTGGCTGTCTCAAAACATTCTCCGACCCGAAAGGCAAGGTGTCAAGGAGCAGGCAGGTTATGAGGTAGAGGCCACGGAATCTACACCTGCCCACGGCCCACACCCAGTGCTGGCGGGGTCCAAAACGACACAGTCCTCATCCCACTCCCCACTTTCCTCCTGACTCACACCTGTCCAGCCCACCAGGGCAGCGCAATGTAGCTGCTCCCCAGGGCATAGTTGCCGATCCAGCCAGAGCGCTTAAGCTTGATCCACGGCACCGAGTAAGCAAAGGAGATGAAGCTGCCGATCAGCGCCAGCCCCGTGAGTTGCAGATTGTCGTGCGAGGCTGTGATTATGGAATGGAAGTGGGAAGAAGTGTGTGTATGAATGTGATTGGGTCCAGAGCTTGCCCTGAGACACAGTGTTTGATGCAGGGTCAGCGGCACTGTCTTGCTCTGGGCACAGGTAGACAGAATTGAACGCTGCACTCCCGGACTTGCATACGATCCAACACATTAAGGGCACCAACATCCAGACAGGAGGACCACATCACACTCACGTGATGCCTGATCCAGCGTATATGCCACTGCAATGCTGGTGAAGAAGAGGATCCAGATCTGCGCGACAACATCCCCCTCAGGGATGGCGCCTGTTGGGTGCGGAGGAGGTTTCGAGTAGAGGAATTGGCTTGGCCTGAGGAGCGCATGACTACCCCTTCCAGGCCAACCCAGCTAAAACTCAGCAACACAGCATTAGGGTCTTTGGGAACCCTCCCTCCTGGCTCAGGTACCATACCAGACGGGATCGGGCGGTTGGGCTCGTTGATGGCGTCCATCTCGCGATCGTAGTAATCGTTCATGGTCTGTGTGAAGCCCGTGAGCAGAGGGCCGGACATTAGCATGCACAGCGCGCTCAGCGCGCAGTCCCTGAAGGTCCACTCAAAGTTTCCAGAGGCGGCAGCACCGCAGATCACACCTGCAGAGTCGTGTGGTTGTGTCGAGGGGATCATGCGAGGGAGGATGGCAGGCATGCGGAGCGAGGGAAGGACCGCCTGCCTCTTGCCACTAGCCAGGTTCAGAGGGCAGCAGGATACGAGACAAGTCTCACCCCAGATGAGTGGAATCCAGGTCACAGGCTTGGTGAGCTGCAGCCGAATCTTCCAGATGTCGGTCTCAACCGCTGCGCCACGGATGCCCAGCATCTGAGCGTTCCCTTTCACTCCGAGGAAGAAAGCGCGGTTGGGGTCGTCCTCGGCGGCACTGCCCTTGCTGGGAGGGGCATCGGGCACCACCTCTGCCTCTGTGGTTTTGCCCTCCTTCTTCGCATGCACTGTGATTGAAAAGAAAAGGAGGTTGCACAGGCATGGATGATGACTCGGGGTGCGAGCTTGTATTGGTGCAAGTGCTGGTGCTCATGCAAATCCTCTCAGCGACTGCATGGTTGTCACACAGCTCTCAGCCCACCTGACACGACCCTCTTGAGATTCAGGGCTCTTGACCCTGGCACAAACGAGATCTTTGGTGCCGGCATGGATGATTGCACCCTGGATGCAACAGCGACACATTTCGTCGTCGGGCTCAAGGTCGTAGAGAACCCCATGACGACCATGGGAGCAGCGCAGGAATTTATTATTCCCTGGTTTATATAAATCTAAACCGCCTGAGATTCCGCTGTATTCCAATCTGATGTACTCGAGCGCTTGCATGGGGTTTGCTACCTCATGATCGTGCGGATGGATCCTGGCAAGGAAAGGAGGACAGCTCGAGACAAGAGGCTCGCTCGACAGAAAGTGAAGGACGTCAGGTGCAGACCTGGTCTGATATCCCTGAGCGCAGTATCAGCCTGGAAACCTAGGAATATATGGATATGAATAACTCGATGCGATGTAAGGCCAGCTGAGGAAACGGTGTTGGCCGGATGGCACCCACTTCCCGGAATGGTGATAGCCCTGATGCTTCGGTAGGTTCGATTATCTGCAAAGGTGTCATCTCCCGTTGTCCTTCCTGCATATTTGATGGTTTTAATGGAAAACAAAGGGATTTGGATGTAGCCGCACCCTTCCCTCGCGGGCACATCTGGCTGATGAGATTGCACTCCATCAGAAGTGCTCAAGCTCATGTGCCAGCATGGCCAATCCATTCTACAGGAAAGCAAGACTCTCCCTCCGACGTGGACAGACCGCATCCTCTCCTTCATGCCCAGCTGGACCCATTCCAGACGCCGCGACATCCTGTATGTGGAGCGCTCGGCTCAGCGCCGCTTCCTCAACGAGTACCGCTCCCAGCTGAAGCAGTATGAGCCTGTGCTCAGGGCTCGTGGAGAAATGTGAGGATCATGTCCTGCTCTTGCTGTGGCACTGGGGGTTGATGGTGTCTACATGCCTCTTTCCTGGAGGCAAAACCTCGTGGTATCTGTATGTTTGCCCCCAGCACTGGCACCACAGGCAGCTCCACCAACCCACGCTGCAGTGTGGGGAATGCGCTGCTGACAAGCATCTTCGAGCAGAGCCTGCACAAGGACGGGTCCAAGGCCCCCATATCCTACACGGGCATCATTGAGTCCTCCCTCGCCGACACGTCTCTGGCCATGCTGCCGCTAAAGTCCATGATGGCGCCGCTGGAGCCGCTGCTGCCTCCCATCCTGACCCCCTTCGTGGAGTGAGTGTGGCCTGAAGATGCCGTGCTGGAGATCGTGGACACAAGGGTGTGTGATGGAGTGTTTCTTGCTGGAATCCTCTTTCGGTGCTCCCTATCTGAAGACCCGCTGCGGCTGACCTTTGGTCTTCTCATGCATGTGCGCAGGGGGTTGAAGGTCCCAATACGCAAGGTGAGAGCTCCTAGTCATCATGGCCAAAGCACTGGGAGGTTTCAGAGCCTCGAGGTGCCTGCTGTGTGCCATGATTGGGCTGCCTGGACAGGCGCATGCACTCCAGGCACGCATCACAGCTCAACACCCCCCGCCCTCCCCAATGCCCTGCAGCAAATCCAGGAGAAGGAGCGCCAAGTCATGCTGCTCCTCTCCGTGGTGGCAGTGGGGTGTGCGATCGGGGGCTACGGCCTCGGCAGCTTTGTGAGCCGACGCGGAGGCAGGGAGGAGCCCAAGTGATTGGCGACTTTACCAGCCCATCCCTTCGTCCACTCCGAGGGCATTTGCTGAGGAACGTACTAATCTCAGTTGGGGATTTTCTGATGCGGATTAGCCCTGCTGCTCGGAGTATCTGCCGTGAAAACCACGATTACCGCGTTACAATATCATGCTTGCTTTCTTGCGGAGCGCAGGATTATGCCAGGGAGGTCACAGTATGGGGCAATCGTCGTGGGGTTAAGGAAGGGCGCAGGGGTGGTAAGGCAGCGCGGCGCGAGCACCACAAGCTGGCTGCGCCCAGTGCGAGGCATCCCTCGTGCCGCAAACGCCAGGCCAGCACGCCCAGCTCTGTGCCTCAGCACCCTCTGCGCTGATCCCCAGCCCCTCAAGCGCCCTTGTAGTAGCGGTTGGGCACAAAGGGCATCTTGGCGACTACGGCGTCGTAGGGCTTGCCGCGCACCACCACCTTGAGCTCCGTCCCCGCCTTGCCCAGCGCTTTCTCCACGTAGCCCATGGCCACGTTCTTCTTCAGGCAGGGGCTGTGGGCGCCGGAGGAGATCTCGCCCACGGTGCGCCCCTCCCCGTCCAGGATGGGGCTGTGCTGGCGGGCGGGGGGCCCCGAGGAAAGCAGGCCCACGCGGCGCTGCTTGACGCCGTCGGCCAGCTGGCGCTTGATCACCTCCCCCCCCAGGAAGGAAAAGTCCTCACGCCGCCGCTTGCCGATGGTCCAGGTCAGGCCCGCCTCCACGGGCGTCACGTCCTCGTTCAGGTCGTTGCCGTAGAGGCAGAGGCCCGCCTCCAGGCGCAGCGAATCGCGCGGGCCCAGTCCGCACAGCCGCACGCGGTCGTCGGAGACGAAGGCGGTGGCCAGGTCGACGGCGCGGTCGGCGGGGATGGAGAGCTCGAACCCGTCCTCGCCCGTGTACCCGGAGCGCGCGATGTAGCACGGCACGCCCTTGACCTCGGCCTTGAGCAGGGAGCCGAAGTAAAGCTTGCTCAGGTCCTCCTTCACCAGCGGCTGTGTGTGTTGGTGTGTGTGGGTGGGGGAGGGGGGGGAGGAGTTGAAGGGAGGAGGGGGCGTTGCGGGTGGGAAATGGAGAAATTGTTGGGAAAGGGGGCAATGGACCAGGTAAGGTATGCTGGAGCCACACAGGCATATGAAGCCATCTGATTCAAATCGGACTACATTCCAGGTGCAGGATGGGACCTGGCCTGTTTCACACACACCTGCTGCTACATCCCTCTGACAAAGCGGATCCCGCTGACACGCAAACACCGCCAACCAACCCGCCTGCCCACCCCCTCACTCAACCACCTACCCCCTCAGTCAACCACCCACCCCCTCAGTCCCATCCGCACCTGCAGGACGTCCACAGCCTGAGGCCCCTGCAGGGCCAGCAGGGACTTGTCATCCATGACCTCGAGGGTGAGGTCCCCGGAGAAGTCGTCCAGGTGCTTGCGCAGGTGTGCCAGGTCCTTGTCACGGCAGCCGGCGTTCAGTACCAGGTACAGCTCATCCTCGGCGATCCTGGTGACGATGGTGTCGTCGATGATGCCGCCAGATTCGTTGGTGAGCACGGAGAGGGTGCCAGTGCCGTCCTTGAGCCCCGCGATGTCGCCCACCACGAGCTTCTCGATCCAGGGGATGGCATCCTTGCCCTGCGGGGCAGGGACATGTTTCAAGGGGATCAGCAGGGCTGGCATAGGGGACATGAGCTACTTTAATGGTTCATGTTCATTGTGAGGATGCTGGAAGAAAGGCATGCCTGCGCATGTGACGCCAGCATCGCCGAGAAGATGCCGGGGCATCGCGTGGTCACTCCACCACTCCCTCCGACCCACCTTGAGGGTCACTCCGCACATGTGGGACACATCGAACAGGGAGGCACTGTTCCGGCAGTGCAGGGTGGAGTCGATGATGCTGTCCTTATACTGGATCGGCATGGACCAGCCCGCGAAGGGCACCATCTTGCCTGGATGCGTGGTGAGCAGTGGGTGTGGGTGACATGCCCGAGACCCAGGGCAGGCCGTGAGCGCAGGTACTTGTGTTCATAAAACCACCCCGGGCCCCCCGTACGCACCTCCATGCTCCACATGGAAGTCATAGAGAGGGGTTTTCTTCAGGGAGGCATCATCGGCGAAGAGGCGGGTGGAGGTTGCCAAGCACGGGACCGCGGGCTTGGTGCCGACGCCTGCAGCACTCGCACACCTGAGCAAGCTAGAAGCTACCTGTCGCCTCATAATTGAGAGATCGCGGACGTGCCTTCGAATCGGGGTTTGGTGGGAGGGGCCTGTGTGGGGCCAGATAAACAGATAACCAGTCTTCCGTCCTTTCGATCCGGTGGCTATCGATCGCGGGGAGAGGGGCGCCCGGATGACAGGCGGACAGGCCTGCACCCATGATACGATGGGGCATGGAGCGAATGTCCCACACGATGATACCCATGGAAAGATGCTGTCAACATGCATGGGCGACCCGTGGCCTCGTCCGGGGACCACGGGCCGGACCTGATGGACTGTCGCTGCCCAGGCTATCTCCCCGCACCCATGCACGACCTGCAGCCAGCAAGCGACCTGGGCCCACCAAAGACGAGGTGCGCGCCATGGCTGGGGCCCAGGTGCGGGAATTTGTGTTGGATTCTCTTCCGATCTCCTGCTCATGGCAAGAGCATAGGCCGGTGAGCATTTGTCTTTCGGGACCGACTGCACGTCCTGATACCACCTTACAATGACAATCAGTCAGCAGCGACACCATGCAGGCCGACCTTACTTATTCCATCCTCGTGCTTGCTCCTCAGGAGAGGGAGGTTCCCTTGGGAAAGGCTGGAGGGTTGAAGAAGGTGGCAGTGACCCGTCCAATCGGCTCCCCCCCCCCTGACGAGGCGGAGGACACCAGCAGGCTCGCCGTCCCCCAGGAGGTCACAGACCGCATGCTGCGCCGCATCCTCACCTTTGCAGGGCTGCCCGTGGCTGTTTCCATCCTCTTCCTCCCCCTATTCTACTTCCTCAAGGTATGTGCCAAGTGCTTGGGTTGACTTACCCTCGCCACCACATGCGGCTGGGCATGCAGGCCCCCGCCTGCATGCCAGAGTATCACCAACGCCCCGCAAGACTGTCGCTGCACTCCGAACAGGCTGCCCCCTCCCTCCTCCATGTGCAACATGCATGCAGGTGACACAAGGCTTCGAAATTCCGCTGCCGGCGGTCTACTTCATCCAGAGCCTGGGCTTTGGCGGTGGCCTGTTTGGAATCTCCTACGGCATCCTGTCGGCCAGCTGGGACCCCTCGCGGCCGGGCAGCACCCTGGGAGCCAACGAGTTCCAGGCCAACCTCCCCATCCTCCTGGAGTACCTCCGACGGAAGTGACCGGCTGATTCGGAGATGTGCTGTCCCTTGTTTGCCCAGGCGAAATCTGGCTCGTGAAGCCAGTCACTGCTGAGCTCGGAGGCGGCGTTTGTTACAGGGACTCATGCTGCGGCTTCTCCTCTGGTTTGCGCGTCCCGTCGCTCAGGAGACGATCAAAACCCCTCCTCAGCCGACTTTCGATTCAGAACCAGACGTCGCGCTGGTACCGCCCCTCCCGCGTCATGCCGTCCAGCACCTGCCTGGCCTCCTGCGGGGTCCTGGCAGAGTGCTGGGCGATGACGCCGAGCAGCGCCTCCTCCACCTGCCCGGCCATGGCGGCCGCGTCCCCGCACACGTAGAAGTGGCCGCCGGCTTGCAGCGCGGCCCACACCATGGCCCCCGCCTCCACCAGCCGCTGCTGGACGTACACCTTTTTTTCCGGCTGCACAGGGAGTGAATGGGGTTTGGAGGTGCAGTGACTCTTGCATGGAATCAAGGGGCATGGAAAAACAAGTGCTGTAACACCGCCGTGCAAAGTGAGTGCGAGGCACATGGCCTCAGGCACATCCCCACCACCACCGGCCTCCCTCACATCTTCACGGGAGAAGGCAGTGAAGAGCTGGATGCTGCCCTCCTGAGCCCAGGCCTCCAGCTGGGAACCATACAGATAGTCCTGGTCCCGCCTCCGGCACCCGAAGAAGAGCAGCGCCTCGCCCAGGGCGCCAACAGAGGGCTTGGCCAACAACCGTCGCTCCTGGCACAGGTACAGGAGGGTGAGGCTTTGAGCGTTGAACATGGGGCGGCAGGGACAAGGGTTACTGGGGCATGGGGCAGCTCAGGAGGCCCAGCCTAGGTGGGTTTGTTGCTCGGCAGGCGACGGCGGGCGAGGCACTGTGGCCGGCCCAACTGCAACCACCTGCTCAATATCCGAGCGCACCATGAGGAAAGAGCGGAAGGGCGCGAGCCCTGTGCCGGGCCCCACCATCACGATGGGCTTGGATGGGTCAGAGGGCAACCTGGGCAGAGGACGGGGGGTGGTATACTTTGTTGGTGCTAGAGGGGGGCTGCATGGTTTTTAACGAGGTCGATTCTTGCAAGACAAGGAGTGCATGCGCCCCTCCCAAGCCTCGAACTCCTTGACTCAGCAACAAGCCCATCGCAGGTGGCAGAATTGCCCCGGTCAAAGTTATGCACCCTTCTCTTACGACCCCTGTCCAGAAGAGGCAGAAACAATCCCCATCCGCCCGCAGTCCCGTCCACTGTGGTCCATCCCCTCAATCACACGCCCCGCCCCCCGCCTCCGGCCCCCCTCCACACTAACCTGAAGTCGGGGTTGGTGTGGATGTAGATGGGCAGGGCCGCGCCCGGGCCCAGCCGCTCCGCCAAATCCGTGGAGGCCACACCCAGGCGCTCTGCGCCCAGCGACTCGTACCGCACCACGGCCACGGTGGCCTGCACCCCCGCCGCGCCCTCCAGCTGGGAGGAGGAGATGGAGTAGAGGCGGGGCGCCAGCTGGCGCAGCGTGCCCAACACGTCGGCCGGCCGGGGGCGGGCCGGGCGGAAGTCGGCGAGCACGTCGATGACATGGCGGGGGGCCAGGTAGGCCTCTGCCCGCTCAGCGTCGCCCAGGAAACCGGCCAGCAGCTGCAGGATGTCGAGGAGGGATGCTTTAGGGAAGGAGAGAGGGGCGGGTCCTCGCAGGGGGATGTACTGGGCGACGAGGCATGCTGCAGTCATTGAGGGTCCAGCATGGCCAGGGTCGTAACGCGGCATCCCAGAGTCTTACATACCACACGCATCACCCGGCCCTCTCACGTCGAGCTTGTCGGCCAGGCACCCTACTACGCAGGCAGCCGAGCCGTCAGCTGCATCCCCTCCGCAGCTGCTGCCGTCGGTGCCGCAGCCCGGTTTGCCCTGCAGCGAATCCCTCAGCAGCGCAAACAGCTCCGTCCTCGGCTGCCTGCTCGTGGGTGTGAAGGAGACATGTGGCTCAGGACACGTGCAGCTCTGAGCAGGGAAGCTGACGGGACGCTTACTGCTGTGTGAAAACTAGCAGGCATACGGCAAGAGTCCTTTGGGTTGCTGTTACGAGTGCATCCGAAAATGCCTGGAACACAGCTCTACCCCACCAGGACCCTGTGCTACCTGAGGTCATAGCAGCGGGTGAGGGCATCCCGCAGCGTCATGGATGTGGCACCTTCTGGGAGCCGGGGGTCGGTGTAGTGCCACTTGGGCACCTGGACGAGCAGGTCCCCCTTTGCACCCAGCGCCAAGACCAGATCCTCCACTGCCTGCGGCAGGGAAGGGAGGAGAGAGGTGGGAGGGAGGTGTGCACCACAGAAGATCGCGATGGCCCACATCATACAATCGCCGCGCGATGCCAAGCAATAGCCGTGGCGGCCAGCACCTGCCGGCCAAGTACTACACAAAATCGCCCAGCTGCTGCACGCCCGCTGAGCAAACTACCAGCCCCGTCAGCACGCGCCTGCGGGTCGTTGGAGGGCCACACGCCCAAGGCGTCTCCGGGCAGGTACTGCAGGCCCGACTCCCCCAGGCTGATCTCGACACGGACTGGGAGGGAGGGCGGGGTGGCTGTGAGTTGCACCGACGCGGCCTTGCCACACAAGCATCCTGAAACCTCAGAACCGCAGCCAGCAATGAATCCCTGGGCAGATCCCACCTGCACAACAATCTCATCACCAGCACCTTTCAAAGCTTCACACATTACCTGTGTTCTTGTCATCCGGGCCCCGGAGCGCGCACAGACCCTCCACAGCCGAGACCGTGGCCAGGTACGGCCTGTTCCTGCTCCACCCTTTCCTCTTGGTCTGCCCACTCCCCAGCTCGGGGCTGAGGAAGGCCAGGGCGTCTGCATGGTCGTCATGGAGGAGCGCGGGGGCTGTGGAGGCAGCTTGGAGAGCACTGTGAGGGCACAGGCCCTGCAATCCGTCACTACATGCATCCCTTGCGCGCCCCCTGGCCCTCCAGCCGCTGGCGCCCAGCCGCCGATGGCTCAGGAGCCAGGACAGTGGAGCCTCTACCATACACGCCCTCCAGAGTGCCACCCACCGCTTCCTTCCAGCTCCTCCACCGTCCGCAGGTCGAGAGTGCCCAGCGAGGAAATCACGGCATCGATCCAGGCATCCACCGCCGCATAGTCCTCCCTATTGATCTCGGCGCGGGGGGCGAAGCGCGTTCCCCCTGCCGACTCCAGCCAAGCGTCGATGGACCGCCCGCAGCGACAGAAGTGGGTGTAGGTGCTGTCAAGATGAAGGGGGAAATTGGTCTCAGCTGGAGGTCATTGGGACAAGGCTGCGCTCCACACACAATCAAGGCACCTACTCTGCGAAACAATGCAACGCAAAGCTGCGTCCCTGGTCGGCACAGAAAGGTGGAAAACCTGAAATGGGCGGTCTTTGCCACACCCTGCCCCTCTCCACCGGTCCGTCCATGTCTCTGTCTCCTGCAATTCCCACCTGCCCTCAGTGAAGCCCTCCCCGAGACCCGTGCCCACATTTTCAACCCACCCCCGGATGACCCCACCAGGGGTCCCAGCCACAAAGCTCACGTGTCGCCCAGGGCGCAGACGGAGAAGGGAACCCCTTTGAATTCGGCGGCCTCCAGGGACGCCAGCCATGCGCAGAAGCCGCGCGCCTCTGCCGGCGGCACGCCGTCTCCCTGCGTTGAGCAGACCACCGCCAGTGCCTGCTGCTTGGTCAGCGGGGGCACGCCCTCGGCGTGGTCTGCCATGTCCAGCACCACCGGCCTGCGAGAAAGGGTTTGCAGGGCGGCCTCGAGCCACAAGGAGCACCTCACACTGGGACATGTTACTTCTCGTCAATCGAAATCATGGAGGGTCAAGGTGCATCCCCCTTGAGTCCCTCATGCGCTCACCAGTACCCCTCGCCCGCTTCCCGAAGCCTGTCAGCCAGCCGCTCTGCGATCTCCTTGGAAAAGCCGTACTCCGTGCCAAACACGATGGTGACGGGCCGGGCGGTGGGCGGTGCGCTCTCTGCCTCGCCAGATGCGCTGCCGGCCTCAGCATGGTCCTGAGACTTGAAGGCGGCAGCTCGCAGGTACGCCTCGAAGCTGGTCTCTTCAAAGGTTTGTGGGGCGGGGACCCCATGGGTGGGCACCCCCACGCTCAGGTCACGGAGGTAGGCGCCGAAGCCGGTCTCCTCCGGCCCAGCCACTGGGGGGCGCGCGGGGCGTGTCAGGTAGTACAACAGTGCCCCCGCGCCCAGTCCAGCACCAGCCATGGATGCATAATGGTCAGATAGACCCATGCTGGGGCGTGGCGCCTGCTCCAACTCCTGACCACTCCTCGTGGGCTACCCCCAGGCGAACACCTGCCGTGCTCGACTCGAGGCCTGAGTGGGCCACCGAGTCCCTACCACATGTAATGACTGTGATCTCAGGATGTTTCCTTGTACTCATGTAGGCATACCGGATTGAAAACATTGGTCGCAGCGCCTTGCGCCCGAAATTCAGACTTCGTGCTTTGCATGCGGTGGGAGGTGTTGATCGAGAGTACGTCAAATATGTTACACAAGAGCTTCCTGGATTGTTCTGCCTCTCCGTTCGACCTGATACAGTGGGAAGCAGGGTAAATAACCAGGACCGTAATCCCATTGGCAGCCCCATCATGCAAGCAGCGCCACAGCAGCACAAATCCCAGCGAGTGAGAACTCTCCAACGAGCACTCCTGGTGATCGAAAGCCCTGCAGAGGGGGGAGATGGCAACTTGATGTTACTGTGGAAGCCATGATGCTGCTAAATGCTTCACACACTAGGTGAAAGGCGATGTCTATCTCCTCACCCAATCCCACACGCCACTCCACTCTGCCTCCCTTCCAGCCTACCCAGAGTGGGAGCATCTCTACGTGCAGCCAGGACTGCACCGCTCCTCCCACCAGCGTCCCCAGCAAGAGTCCGGCCCCCGTGATGGCCACTGCCCTGCCCAGGCCCACTTTCTTCCTGTCTCGCAGAATGTATATGGCAGAGCCGGTGCCAAGGGCCAGCTGCAGCCCAGGAATGGAGTTGGCAGCAGCCAGGGCGTTGGGTTCAGTGAGGCCCTGAAGAAGGTGGCAGGAGTTGGAGCTGGGATGCTGTTGGGGCCAGGGCGAGCGCAGCTGGCATGCACGATTTGCCAATCTGAGAGTCCCAGCTGTGGCCTCGGCGAGCCGTCGCACTGCAGAGCAGGGCCCAGAAATGGAGATCGCCAGGCGACAGTGCCCTGCCCCGCTTCTTGCCTTCCCCACGTCCACCCTCGCACCTGGAGCAGGCTCCACGCGCCCAGGGCGACAAAGACGCCAACCACAGATGCCGTCTGGGTGTCACTCAATGTGCTGACGGTCGCAAACCCACCAGGCAGTGGCTGCGGCTTGCTCTGCGGCATGTTGAAGCGATCAAGGAGGATGACTAGGAGAGTGAGGCACAGGTATACTGCCAAGTCCACTTGGAAGGAAGGGAGTGTTTCCACAATACACGCGTTTGCATGACATCCCTCAGCCATGCCTCCCACTCACCCGCTCCTTGGACTTGGGCTTGGGACGAGGGCGCACGTCGGCATACTTGACCTTGTTTGGCACGGCAGTGTCCCCCGCCAGGCGGGTCCTCATCAGGTGCATGAACAGGGAATCATAGGCGCCCTCCACGCGCATGGCCCCTGCAGATCCTGGTGCGTGCTTTGCAAGCAAGCGATTCTTCGATCTATTTTGCAGATTCAAGGGTTGGGAAGGCGCGTGATGAGGTCGCAAGATCAGAACTCCATGCCGTCCACCTCGGAAGATCATGTGCTATGCTTACGCCAAGGGGCCGAGTCCGCCCGACTCTTGGGGGACCAGCGATGTCGCAAGAGCCCCTCTACTTGACACCATGGGTTCCAGAAACCCCACTTGAATCCCATATCAAGAAGACTTACCGAACAACTTCCTCGAAGGTTGCTCCCGTCGCCAGTCCGAGCACCATGTAGGCCTCGTCAGGGCTGAGGCTGGTCGATGGGGCTTCTGGGGACTCCCCATTGCTCGCATGAACCAGGCCAAGGCGTATCTTACGACCTGATGATGCTCTCGTTACATGCGTGCTGTCGAATTGCACCCCAGATCTGAAGAGCCATCCGTCCCTGTGAGGTCCACGGGCATGCAGGGCTCCATGCGAAAGCGTGACCCGGCATGCAGAGGCCTTGATCAAGGTCTGGCAGCGAGAGGTCAACCCCTGTGTCGCCATCATCTGGAGGATAGAAAGATCATGCACAATGTCCATCGGCTTCCTTGGCACCGATGATGTCGGATTGAATGGGAGGACTGCCCCGACACACGCAGCGAGAGAGCTACCATCGGCAGTACCCCCCCGGGCCCCGACCATCCGAATTTCGAAGTGAAAGCCTGGGCCAGTCGCCGGGTCTGAGATATTGCCGCCATTCCCGGCTCGTCTTAGGTTATTGTATGGCATAATGTCGGGCTTGGGTCTCAAGATCCCGCGCCTGGACCTGAGCAGCGCCTCCCCCGCCCGCTCTGACGCCAGCCCCCGCCCCTCCAACAACGCCTCGGCCCGGGGCAATGGCAGCTCTGCTCGATCACGGCTGCATGCCATCACGGAGCGGGTGCTCGCTGGATCCACAGGCGACAAAACCCCTCGCCTGAGCGCGAGGGGCTCCGGTATCAGTCGGCTCTCTGTCCGTGCCAGCAGCACGCAGCTCACGGACGCACCGCCCACCTCTCGCCGTGAGGGCAACACGTCCCGCCGCAGCAAGGGTAAGGCCCGGCTGCACTCGATGCTGGGGATCAGGGGTGTCCCTGAGAAATTGTCTGGGGGCGTCGTTCTGCAAAGTACTGCTTTGATGTGCTATCGTGACTGTGCGCCTCCGTATCGTTGCCTCTTGGGAACAAGAAGCACCCACTGCCGTCCCATTCCCTCCCACACCCCGATTCCCAGCGGAGGACAGCCTCACCACGGGCAGCGGCAGCGTCATGCAGCGCGCCACCTTCCTGGACGCCCTCATCACGGCCCGGAGGGCCAGCGGCGGCGTGCCCACCCCCCGTTCTTCAAATGCTGGCCCCGCCGCCACGGCCCCGCTGGTCACGCCCCTGCCCCCGCGGCTCGCGGTGGCCCACCTCACCTCCACCCCCGGCAGCCTGACCTCCCGCCCACCCCGCCTCGAGGCCGCACCCCGCGCCACACCGCGTGGGGCTGGCGCCGCCCTCACCTCCCGCGGCGTGGCAGGCGGCTCGTTCAGGGCAGGCGCCGCGCCCAGCCCCGCCCCCGCCGCCGCGGTGTCGGTGGGCCAGCTGGCCGAGCTGGCGGCCAGAAGGCGCGCCGCGGCGGCACAAGCGCTGGAGCTGCAGGCGGCGGCCGCCGCGGCGCGCTCCGCGTCCGCCGCCCGGAAGGCCGACCTGGCCGACATGGGTGAGGGGGAGTTTGACGCGCTGTGAGAGGGAGTGGGTCTTGGTCTGGGGGCATGGCAGCCGCGGCAGGTGCTGTTCCAAGGGCCGGGCTCGACCGCGCTGCGATGTTGCGCCTCTGGGCGAACCAACGGGGGCAGTGGTGCGCCCATCCACACAGAATTGCCGTGCCGCAGTTGCCCTCGCTCCATCTGCCACCCTGCAAAACCACCCGCCCCTGGTCCCTTCCGCAACAGAGGTGGCACACACCGCTCTGGCTGCTGAGCTGGCCAGTCTGCGCTGCAGCGCTGGGGAGGAAAGCGCCGCAGTGTTTGCTGCACGCAAGGCCCTTTTGGAGACAATGAAGGTGACACAAGGAATGCTTTTGGGGGGGGGGCCCTGGGGGAGTGTTGCCTGATGTCTGCGGAAAGTCAGCAACACGCTTATGCATGGGAATTCTCACGGAGAGAAATAGAATGGCATGGGTATAACTTGGCAGAGCAGCCGGCAGGCCCAAACAAACCAGGCTCAACCTCCCTCCACCTCCCCCTCCCTACCATCACTCTGCCAGGCGGCGGCGGCGCTGCTGCAGCTTGGGGACGTGCAGGCGGCGCTGGCCGGGGTCGCGCTGGAGGCGCCCCCGGCCGCCAGCCCCACCGGCACTCCCTTGGCCAACGGGCAGCGGGCCAGCTTCCGCGCGGGTTCCAGCGGGCCCGGACTCAGCCCCGGCGCCCTGCACAGCCTGGCATCCCTGGGCAGCAAGCTGAGCGCGGCGGAGTCGCTGCTGCTCGGCGGCGAGGAGGTGGATAGCGCGGAGTGCAGGCTGCAGGCGCTGCCGGAGAGGGCGGAGGTGGCGGCGGTGATCGCGCCGAGTGCCGTGCAAGGACGGGAGCCACGGCAGGAGGATCTCGAGCGCGCGGGGCCCGGGCGGGCAGCCGAGCAGGCGACCCAAGCTCCTGATCCGACGCCAGCGGCATCGACCTGAGCGCACATCGCTCCTGATTTCTGACCATTCGTAGATTGTTCACGGCGCACTATGCAAATGCCCTTTTGCTGGTGGTGTGCAGTCTGCGGTGGCACGCCTGCAACCCAGTGCTCGGCCCGCCATCCCTTTTTCCACCCAACCACCCCTTTGCATCGCGGCGGCACGCCTGTAATCTAGCTCTGCCCTTGGCCACCCATCAATTACCATGGAGGGGGCCCTTAGCACGGGAACACAGCAGGAGCTCGGGTCTGCAGCGAACCGCCGCCCACCGTCTGGAGGCTCCGACCGCGCCGTCAGCATGGCGCTCAGCGGGGCAGCTGGGCGAGGGCCGGTGTTGCACCACCCCCGCGGGACATGCCGTCGAGCAGCGCCCCCGGCAGCTTCCCGGCCCGCGCCAGGGCGCAGAAGCCCGCGGCGTTGTCCGGCACGCCGTCCAGGTCGGCTTCTACATCCGGCGCGATGCCCACGCGGTTGATGTCTCGCCCCGCCGGCGTCTGGTACCGCGCCACGGTGACCGCCAGGGCGGAGCCGTCGGACAGCGGCGTCAGCGTCTGCACAACGCCCTTTCCAAAGGTGCGCGCCCCGGCCAGCCTGCCCCGCCCCGAGTCCTGGACCGCGCCGGCCAGAACCTGGGCACAAAAGTGGAGGGGAGGAAAGGGGGAGTGTGGGGATGAGGAGGGGGGTGGCGACGCCGTGGTCCCCTGCCGTCCTGCACCCGGCGATGTGCTCTTTATGTTCCGAGCAGTGGCGATCTGGCCGTCGGCAGATCTGGAGACCTGGGCGGGCACGCGCATGGGCACGAAAAACTGGCGATCTTGTCCCCACCCCTCCCCAAAGCGCCCTCGCTCCACGCACCTCGGCGGCGCTGGCCGTCCGCGAGTTGACCAGGACGATGAGTGGAACCTTCTCGTCCAGCATCGCGCCGCCCTCCGCCTCATACCGCTCGCGCACGCCTTCGCTGTGGGGGTGGCACGCATGTGTGTGTGTGTGTATTTGTTCAGCATCAATGAGCAGGTGTACAGCATGGCAGGCGGAGTGCGGCGCCTACCCCCCCCCCTCCCCCCTCCCCCATGGTGCAGAGAATGATATTCCAGCAATGCTGTTTGACCAGGAGAGCAAAAACCCCTTCCCCTTGCAAAACACATCCACACCCACAGGCACGCACCTGTCGGCGATCAGGACGACCTCGGTGCCCTCGGCCAGGAGCTGCTGCGCCACCGCCACGCCCTGCGCAAAGACCCCCCCGCCGTTGTTCCTCAGGTCCATCACCAGCAGGGAAGGGGAGCCGGCCGCCAGCTTGGTGAGCGCTTCACCGCTCTGCGGGGTGGGCAGAGGGGGATTCTGGGGTCTGGAGGACTGCAGGCGCCGCGGCGCAGGCGCACTGGTTTGTGACCTTGGCGCTCAACAATGTAGGCAACCTTCTTCCTCACGCATTCAGAAACCCTCAGACTGCGCTCGGGGACCCCCACCACCTACCCCGCCATCCTTGCACCTGCTTGCCGGTCTGCTGGTTGAAGGCGGCGATGCGGAGGTAGGCGACGCCCCGCTCGCCGCCGCACGCCTGGTATTGGACCGGGGTGACCACCAGCCTCTCCCGCTGCAGGCTCAGCACGCGACGCCCACGCGAGGTCTGGACCTCCGCCTCCACGCCGCTCCCCGTCTCGCCCTGCAGCAGGGCACCTGTGGGGGTGGCATGGGAAGAAAGGGCGGAAATGAGGGGTCTCAGGTGCATGACACCGCGGTGCAGGCCCCGTCAGACCAGTCGCGGGATCGGCCAGCGCCACGATGAACTCCTCCCACTTGTGCACCACAGCAGTAGTCCCTTACCGATGGAGTAAAGGGACAGGCCCCCCGTCTCCCTGCCATCGATGCTCATGATGGTGTCCCCCGCTGCCACGCCGGCCCGGTCGGCGGGGCCGCCAGGCACGACGCTGAGCACCTCGGCGCGGCCGGTGGCCGACCCCGGATCGCTGCGGAGCCCCACCTCCACCCCGATGCCGGACAGCTGGCCGCTGGAGGCCCGTCTGCAGGTAGGGGGGGTCGGGTGGAATGAGGGGAAAGTCTTAACATGTCGAGCAGCGCCCAGGTTGGGCACTCATGCTCGATCCTGTCCGAGCTTGGGGTCGAGTTATGAACATCCTCCCTGATGGGCACACTGTGGAACTTCCCATCCTCCACACACCCATGCCAACAGGCTTGCACGCCGCATACTTGAGTGCTTCATACTGGTCAGGGCCGAGGTGGCGCGTGAAGGGGTCCCCCAGGGTGCCCAGCAGCTTCCGGATGGCGGCATACGCCTGCTCCCTGTCACCAAAAGACTCTGACTGCAGGAGCGACTCCCTAATCTGTTGGACGTGCATGCCGATGGGGGGGATGGACTCCGGGAATGCGGATCTCTAGGCAGCGCGATGCTCGAGTCGATGCCCTCCACCACACACCCCCATGACCTTCCTGTCACCTCACCTTGTACCAGTTCTGGCCATTGAATGTCTTGTCAACGTAGGCACGATCCACGGCCTTCCATGCCTCCAGGTAGAGGAGCTGGTTCTTGTTCACGGCATGTGCAGGGCTGGCACCGCTCAGCAGGATGACGCTGGCCAGGCCTGCGATGCCCAGCATGCCTCGCTGCAATGCTCGGTGAACGCTACTGAGCAGGATCTGTCCCGACGACTTATCACGCTTTGATATTGTTTGGCAATGATCAAGTAGAATGCCAGGCTTACGTGCGCATGCTACATGTTTTTGAAATCGACTTCGTACCCACCACAGGGCCTGTGCATGGGCGTATGTACATCGCGGAATGGGAGATGCGGGTCCCGGCACGACACAAGGGTGCATGCCTGGACTGCCAGGCATTGAAACCTCTGTGTCACATGAGAGGATGTAGGGCGAACAGGGATGCCGCGGACATCCCCAGGCCACTGATCTGGTTCACTGTGGTTTGTTTTGCGCGCATTGAGAAGATTGACTCGGATTGGATTCTGCGAATGATGAACGAGCCGGAGCGTCTGCCGGGATAATAGAGACAGCAAAGAAACCCATACAGGGCGTCCATTCCCACGAGACTAATTTCATCGTGCAAATACATCGCCAAGTGGTTCATCGGAGAGATGGTGGCCGTCGGCATCCATGCTCATGTCGTTCGCACCCTGCCCTCCCCTCGATGTAAGCGCTCGGAGCATCGCAGACCCTGCATGCATGCACATGATCATGCACATATTAAATCAGGTTATTGCGAGCGCGTCCAGCTGAACTCTCAAACATGCCAGCGCAGGCGGGATGGAGGGACGGCCTGCATGGGCCAGATCACCCCTGGGGAACTCGTGCACCCCCCGCGTGACGCCGTCCACGCTGAAGAGGAGTGTCTCGCGTCAGGCGGGCGGGCTCGAGATGGAGAACGCGCAGAAACGCTGGGAGAACCAGGTCTGTCGAATGATTAATCGACTGCCAAGGTGCCCAGCTGATTCTGCCACATGTTCCTTGTCGGAGCTGCACTGCTTGCCATGCAGCAGGGGTGCACACCCCTTCCCCCTGTCCCTCCTCCACGGCAGGTTCGCGACGGCAGGGTTCGGAATGTGCGTGCCAAGGAGGTCCCGGGTCTCCTGAAGGAAGGCTGGACCCTCCTGGACGTCCGACCATCCAGTGAGCTGGACAAGGTGCGTGCTGGAGCAGGCTGGTGTGGGTGGGAGAAGGACCAGTGGAGGATCACTGCTGGCTGCGCCATTTCTGTGATGAATGTGTCTAGCAGGCATTGAAAGCCATACTCCAGTCACCATGAATGAAGAAGATGAAGTTTTGGGCCCCCTGCAGCTCATGCATGCTGCGCACCCCCTCTCCCCACGCGCAGGCCCGTATCAAGGGGGCGGTGGAGGTGCCCTTGTTTGTCGTGGACGATGATATGAGCCCTGCGGGACTCCTGAAGCAGGTGGGTCCTGTCCAGGTCCTGGAGCCGTGAGCTTTCATTCGTTCACCGCCCTCAGCAGCACCATTTTCCACCGCCCCCACTCGCACCCCTCCACCCCGCAGGCGAGCGCCTTTGGCATGGGCGGCTGGTGGCTGGGCGGCAAGCACATGAAGCCGTACCCAACTTTCCTGGAGGAGGTGGAGGCCAAGGTGCCCAAGGACGCCTCCATCATTGTGGCCTGCCAGAAGGGATTGAGGTGAGGTGCAGTGTGAATGGTGGGTTGCTTGTGGACGTGACACAACCCCCCGCAACCCTTCCCAGCACCCACGATGAGGTCGGCCTTTGCGCACAGGATCGCGCCCATGCCTTGCGGCGCTACCTCGCAGACTTCCTGTTGCCCCCCGCACGCGACCCTCTCACCCCCTGTTGCCAACCTCCCGTCGCAACCCCAACCACCCTCATTTTCCTGCCACCAAGGTCGCTGGCGGCGTGCGAGGTGCTGAGCCGAGCGGGGTACCGCAGCCTGGCGTGGATCAACGGCGGCTACGACACGGCGCAGCCTGGGGAGTTGCCGGTGGAGGGCGACGTGGACGTGCGGCTGGCAGGCATCGGCGGCCTGTCGAGCGTGCTGGGCTGGACCGAGCCGCAGCGGGAGGGCCAGGGCGGCGGCTTTGCGGGCGGGTTCCAGAACATTCTCAAGGGCGTGGCGGTGATCCTGCTGCTGGACGTCCTGCTGTTCGGCTGGGAGCTGATCCAGGCCAGCAAGCAGTGATGCTCGGGTGGAGGGGAAGGACTGGGGGGAGGGAGGGCAAGTTCCAGCCTGCATTGCCTGCATCTCTATGCCGGGGCGGCCCATCGGCATGTGCAATTTTGTGAGTTGGGGGGGGCGCCGATGTACATCTGCATTCTCCCATCGGTCTCGTAAATGCATCGATCCAGGCCAGACAGGGGAGAGAAGCTCTCATTCGTGTTTACCTTTGATCCCCTGATGAGCGTGCGTTTCTGCCCTTTACTGCGGGGAGCCCTGATTGAATCCGGGGGAGGAAACGGGGGACAATATCCTGGGGAGCAGGGTGCAACATTCAAACTTCGAGCTTGAGGACCGAGAGCCATCGCATAAGCGCCGCTGTTCCCACCACCCCCGTACTTCGCGCAAGCATGCAGTCCGCTCATGCAACCTCACTCGGCCTGAGGGCCACGGGCGCACCGGGCCGATCGTCCCAGGCCCTCCCCACCCGGTCGGCTGCCAGTATGCGGGTGCACGCAGCAGCTCGGCAGGGATCATGGGCACCAAAGCCCATGCACCGCCCTCGATCACACATCGGCTTCGTTACCCAGGCATCGTATGGCTCCGGGAACTACGGCCCAGTGGGTGGCGACGCCAGGATCAAGGTCATCGGTGTGGGCGGTGGCGGTGGCAACGCCGTGAATCGCATGATCTCCAGCGGCCTGCAGGTGCGAGGGATGCGGTGGATGTCCCAGTGGCATGCTGAGATTGGGAGGGATGACACCTGACGTGTTTTGGGCCTGGAGATCGAGCTGGGCTGTTGTGAGCCCTCATGGCCGGCAGGCCTTGCACTGAGGCCGCTCGATGCAGTCGACCTCATACCCGCCATGACCCTCAGGGCGTGGAGTTCTGGGCTGTCAACACGGACGCCCAGGCCCTGGAGAGCCATCAGGCGCTCAACAAGCTGCAGATCGGGACCACCCTGACCCGCGGCCTGGGTGGGTTGGGGGGGATGTTTGGAGTTTGGCCCTGCTTCTGGGGGTCTCTGGCACCCTAGTTCAGCTGAAAGGCTGGGCTTGTGACATGAACGCGTCTCCCAACAAATCACGCAGGTACGGGTGGCAAGCCCGAGCTGGGGGAGGAGGCGGCGCAGGAGTCTCACCAGGAGCTGGCCTCGGCCGTCCAGGGCGCAGACATGGTGGGCTTCAATATGGAATGGGTTGGAAATTGTGAACAATGCTGGCTCCTGCACAATCAGGAAACGACATGGTCCTTGCAGCTCCATGCATGCCTCCTGACGGGCCAAACGCAAACTCACTTTTCAATACCAATCTCCCACCCAGGTCTTCATCACTGCCGGCATGGGGGGTGGCACTGGAACTGGAGCTGCCCCAGTGGTTGCACGGCTTAGCAAGGACCTGGGGGTGCTCACTGTGGGCGTCGTCACCTTCCCCTTCACCTTTGAGGGGCGGCGCCGGGCCGGGCAGGTGAGGACCTGGGGCTGTTCTTGTGGTTCTCGTTAATTGGGGGGGTGGGATGGGGGTCTACAGCCAGGCAAACCTTGTCAGTGGATGGCCATGCCCAGTATTCTTGATTCTCAGCCTGCAATGCTTTCTGGACCCCAGTGGTCCCTTTGAGGCTGCCCCCCTTGTCCCCAGGGGGGGCCCTAACCCCATGGTGTACCCTCTTTCCCCCACCCCCCCAGGCCACTGATGGCATCGACACCCTGCGCAAGAACGTGGACACCCTCATTGTCATCCCCAACGACCGTCTGCTTGATGTTGTGGGTGACTCCACCCCACTGCAGGACGCCTTCCTGCTGGCCGACGACGTCCTGCGCCAGGTGGGCGATAAGGAGGCGAGACGGTATTGCCCGACCATACCTTCTTTTATCGACTCTCGCCAGGAGATTGGGACGTCAGGGGGGCCCTGGGCTGGCCTCACAGCGCAGTTCAATGCAGCGTCTCATGTTGCCATGCCCATGGTATCAGATTTCCATGACTCATCTCAAAAGTATGAACCCCCTTCCCGCAGGGCGTGCAAGGCATCTCTGACATCATCACCATTCCCGGCCTGGTCAATGTCGACTTTGCCGACGTCAAGGCCATCATGTGCAACTCCGGGACCGCCATGCTGGGTGTGGGCGTGTCCTCTGGGAAGAACCGTGCAGAGGAGGCTGCCATGGTGAGTGGAGTGGCTTGGGGAGTGGGGTTTGGGGGGACCTGGAGTCTGCTGGCACCACATGCGCTGGGTTTCCACTGCAAGCGCTGCCTTTGATGGTATGAAATGGCTGATCTTGGTGAACCCTCACCTTCCCCTTTCCCCCCTTCCCCAATCCCCCCAACTCCGCTGCAGGCCGCCACCTCGGCCCCCCTCATCGAGCGCAGCATCGAGCGCGCCACGGGGATCGTGTACAACATCACGGGCGGGCGGGACCTGACGCTGCAGGAGGTCAACCGCGTCAGTGAAGTGGTCACCTCGCTCGCCGACCCCTCCGCCAACGTCATCTTCGGCGCGGTCATCGACGACGCGTATGAGGGCGAGATCCACGTCACCATCATTGCCACGGGGTTCAACCAGACCTTTGAGGACCAGCTGCTCAGCGGGCGCAGCGTGCTGGTGAGAATGTTGGTGAAGCGGGGGTGCTGTGTCCTTGGGGTGGCATGTCTAATCTGTCGGGGTTTGAGGGGGCCAGGTGGGTCCTTGGGGGATGAGGATTGAAGTGCGAGTATCAGCGGAGATTATGAGGGGTCAATGTGGCGAGGGGAGCAGCAATGGATGCGGGATCGCCCTGGGCCATGTCCTCTCGGGCCAGACCACCTTCCAGCAACATCCCCCTCTGCTCCTGACCCACATCCCTCCCCGCCCCTACATCATTCCATTCTGCAGCCTGCTCAACCCGACCTCTCCCGCGCATCCAACGCCAAATCCGGCAACGGACCCGCGTCGCGCCAGGCGGCCAACGGGCACGCATCCAGCCTCGGCGGCGGCGGCGGCGGCTTCCTGGGCCGCACCTGGTGAGCTGACAGACCATGGGGCCAGGGCTCGGCGTTCACGAACACCCACGGAAGTGTGGTATTGCCGTTCCAGTCCCTACCCCGGCCCCAGTCGCAGCCCTCGTCCTGTACTTTAGCTCGCTGTTCTGTTCCCCCTGCTGCTGGAAACCGCTGTGCCCTGCCTGCCCCGTACTCTCCCCGTCAACCCCCTTCGACCTGCATTAAGAAATCTGCGTTAAGTGGCCGCCGCGGGGGCGCAGAGGCAGCCGGGAGGGGGAAGGAGACGCTACAGGTCTGGTCAACAGCATTGCACCCTCGAGAGTGGAGGGGGCGATACGCAATGGAGCGGAAAGTGTTTGGTCGAGTATACTACCCACAATACAAAATGATGCCTAGCGAGGTGCGGAAGCACCGCAGACCTGCCACTCCATCAGCGGCGCCCTCCCTGCAGCAGCCCGACCCGCCAGGCCTGCAGGCTGACCAGCAGCATGTGCAGCAGGGCCAGCGCGGCTGCCGCCAGGAGGCGCAGGTGGGACGCGCGGGGGACGAGCGCCCGGGCCCGGCCGGCGCCGCGCCGCCCCCCGCCGCGCCGTCAGGCGGCGACCCAGGGTGCGGGCGTGAGATCCCAGGGCGTGCGCCGCACGGCCGCGTAGTGGCTGGACCAGTAGCATGCGCGTGGGGAGGTGAGCTCCCCGCGCGCGCCGTCGTAGACGAGCATGGGGCGCCAGTCGGCTGCGGGGCGGCCGCGGCGCCGCTGCTCGGCCGGGTACCCCAAGGGCCACTGCACGTAGCGCACGCCGTCCAGCTCAGCGTCCCAGCTGAAGTGGGTGTGGCCAAAGACGTGGGCGGCGGGGCGCAGGCGTGCGATGCGCGCGGCCAGGGGGTCGCTGCCCACCGCCTTGGCCAGGTTGGGGTGGTGCAGCATGCGCTTCTCTGGCAGCAGGCGCTGGTCCGGTAGGAAGTGGGAGAAGGTGATGAGCGGGGGCCGCACGCCGGACACGGCCTCCGCCGCGTCCAGCGCCGCCAGCACGCGCGCCGTGCCGGGGTCGTTGAGCGAGTCCATGTGCCACGCGATGGAGTCGTCGGCCGGGGTCAGACCAGGCACCGAGGACCACGTGCAGGCATGGAAGTCCATCATGATCTGGGAAAGGAGGAA